CATCGTCGTTTGTCGCGAATGATGTTGAAAGAAATATTATTTTCCCTTGACATCATAGACGCACTGCACTCTCGACGAGCCTGCAGAAATTTTCAACAATTTTCCCATATACCACAGAAAGTTGCAGCAACATTACTGCAACGTTGCAACAATGGCTGTGTTCCGACATTCACTGCCAGCACTGAAAATCTATAATATACGTGACACAGACTATGTATTTTCAGTACTGGCAGTGAATTTCGGAACATAGCCAATGTTGCAATGTTGCAACAACATTGCTGCAATTTTTGTGTTGTATGGGTTTTTAATAGTTTATGCGCAGAGTCGCTGACTTGTGTAAGACACGATTTAAGGGATCAAATATATTCAGGTAAAACTGAGAAATTACGGCAGCTATATCTCAGCGACAAACGTTTAAGGACATACGTCTGCCAAGACTCTTTTACTTGGTTTCTCGTGTAGAATCTATCCTGCGAGTATTTTGTGTCGGTGGAGTTTAGGTACATCCTGTATACTCGCTGTTTATCCGAAAGCTATGTACTTCCATAGCGGAACGGCAGCGGACTTAGTAATCTATTGGATTGCAGTTACTTTAACAAATTTGTTAGAGTAACTGCATCCCAATCGGTTACCGAGCCCGCCACCAATGCTTCATGTAAAGCGCGTCGATGTGTATACGTACGAAATAGCGAGAGTAAATACACATGTGCGCGAGTCGTACATTATGTACGGGGTGTCCAGAAAGCCGAGGTTAGCAATCTACTATATTATAAACGTCTACGTCTCTCTATGTGAATCCTGAACACTCTCCTGCGCTCATTTCTCATAAATGCTACAGCAACAGTTCGGCGGTTCGTTTAAATAATACAATGCATTCTATCTGCATGAAAATATTTAAAATGTTTAATGGCGACGAGGCTTTCGTTTTGTTGATTATCACGAATCAAAGCTGCATAGGTTTGCCTAAATGTTTGTTAATATTCCTTTTTGTGTCTCGTGATGGTAAAAAATAAATTGCGACTACGAGCAAAGGGAAACAATTATGCGCAACATTGCGCTCAACCGCTCAGCTAACCTATTTACTGAATACTTCAAGGTGACTCTACCGGATAAACCATAGACATAGTATACCTAGACTGCGTGTTCGAATAGTGGGGGTAGAGCTCGTGTAGAAGAGGATGCACTCTGTTTTATACCTGTGTGCGTTCTCTCTCTCACGCTTGAAAGAAGGGGGATAAAGGGAGGTATACTATGCGATATACTATGTCTATGGCAACTGCCTCCCTTTATTCCCCTTTTCTCGCGTGTACGGGAGAGAATGCAGAGACAGAAAATAGAGTGCATCCTTTTCTACCCCCACTCTTGAAATCTGAAAGAACGCGCAATCTAGATATATCATGTTTATGAATTTAACAAATATGCAATGATAGGTTAGATCGATAAAAAACTGTTCGTATTCCAAATAAACAATAGTAACAAGATATTATATACAAAAACTTAGCCTGTACGTAGCTGTCATCGTAAATATATCCTTAAAGGAGTACAACGAGTTTAATAAGAAAATACTGCATTCCTTAAACAGTTTAATTAGCATGAGAATGACGTCTTCCTGAAACGGTTTAATAAAGTTCATTAAGATAAGTCCATCGGTTTGGTTTGTTGCGATTTGAATATCATATCAGAAAACTGGTCGTCGTTGCCTTCTTCGCCCTCTCTTACCCTTTGTCTTCCATTTTCTTAACCTTTTGTGTGGCAGTAAGAATATTTACTATCTTTTCTTTCATTTTTACAATGTATTGTTTACAGTTTAATGAAAATAAATATGACTTCACATTTTTCTATTATATAAATACTTTATATTTTTCCCATGATTTTTATATCTGATTGTTCATTTTTATTTTTTTATAAATAAATAAAGTTTTAAAAAATTTAATTTTTTGGAAAATATTTAAGATTAAAAGCTGAAAATTTTACTGAATATTCTCTTTCTTCACATGTCAAAATATAACATATATTTTTTCGAGAATTTTTCGTACGCAAGATTTTTCTTTGTAAACAAATTAGTTGGTTGAATTTTGTAAATCTGACATGAAATTGGCAATCTGAAAATCTTACAATTATTCAGACTTACAATAATTTACTGCCCTATATGGCAGTCATATTAGGTTTGCCATTTTGAATTTTTGAAATATAACATCAGATTTTTATAACGAAAAAATATAGAACATAGAAATGCGAAATTTCACAGAAATCCGTCAAGTATAAAAAATGTGCCACAGGCATAAGGGTTAAAGATGGGCCGGATCGTTGCGCGTTTCGCACCGAGCGTCCCTAAATTACGAGGCGTTTGAGTAAGCGGAGTCGACCTCGATTACTCATTCGTGATGGGATATATCTTCCAGCCGTGCTACTTCGTATCGTATGGCCGAAGCGGCCTGAAGTGTTGCTGGTCCATCAGGAAGCGACCCTCCGCTTTCCGTCGACAGTGCGAACATGGACGGACCTGTTTGCGGTGGACAGGCTGCGTGTTCCCTGGCGAGGTTCGATAATCAGGATGCGGGTAATCAGTCGTATGGACAAAGTGCGCGGGTTGATCTTCGTTCTTCCTCCGGCCGATGAACCAGCCGGCGGCGACCTTTCCTGGCCGCTCGATCAAACACCATCGACGGCTGTCGCAATCACGAGAGACGAAAAACGGCTAGCTCTTCGTGCTGGACGCGAGCAAAAATTTCTTCACCTCGGCGATTTGCCATTTATTCCCAATCGCTGCCGACCGCGTTTCCTCCCCCGACGAGACCCGCCAGGGAGATACCTCACATAATGGAAAATCACACTTGTCGGGGAACAACGACCCCAACGAGTAAGCCCTACAATATAACCCCGCGAAAATGGGTATCGGCCGACGCTCCTTCCGAGGCGTATAATTGCATTAAGCATCTATCTGATCGTCGTGCAGCAGCGTGTATCCCATCTGGAGTGCGGCGGGATTTATGCACGACAAACCAACCCCCAGGCGGTCGGAGGGACGCCGCCGCTGGAAATTGGGGGTTTGCGGAAGAAGAAGGTGGCCTGCGAAAGACAGAAAAGCAGAGAGAGAGAGAGAGAGAGAGAGAGAGAGAGAGAGAGAGAGAGAGAGAGAGAGAGAGAGAGAGAGAGAGAGAGGGGGGAGGGGGGAAGGACCAGGCGCAGAGGGTGCATTGGGTATAATAAATTTCCACTATCGCGAGTTTGCCAACTAATCGGCCGCCTTTACCATTTAATTAAGGCTACCCGCTGGCTCATCTATTGTCCGTGTCGCGTCAGCTCGGGCCGGCGCGCGCGTGCTTAATTGCCGGATGCCCCCGCTGAAAATCAAGAGAAATCTCTTTCGCCCGAATTCGCCCGCTATTTCTGGCCCCGGCCCCGGCGAAATACCCAGGCAGGCGCTCCGGGGGAGATTATTTTTTCGGCTAACTCGCTCGTTGAATGCTTTTGCCTTCAACATAAAAGATCAGTAATTGTAGCCGTAATTCTGTTAAAAAAATTGATAACCGCGAAGCCTGTTGCAGAATTGGTCTCGGAAACTTTGGTTTTAGTTCTCAAGTTGGCCTTAAACCAACTTGGATACGTCGCGCAATTGATCAGCTGATTTACGCGATCGATTTTACGGGATCGGGAGATTCGCCAGTCAAGATAATAAGTAATCAAAAAATCTATCCGTTTCTCTAACATCAGAAAATTAATAGCCAAAACCAAGTTTGTAAACAGAATTTTGTTAACAGAAATAGTAGTTGGCTGTGAATGTTCAAACGTGATCAGCTGATCAATCACGGAACATATCTAACCTAGTTTAAGGCCTACCAACCTTACAACCAGTTCTGACTTATCTTTTGATGTACATACACGGTCAGCTTTGGCGTACAGAAGGCTTCATCTTTCGTTACGGCAAATACTTTATGAACGTTCAAACTTTAAGGACTTATTATACTCCACGATAGTTGGCCACACCTTAAATATATGGTTCCATCATTTGGACACCTTATCAATGCAGCCAATCGAACCTTCTTGAACATGTTCAGAATAGACTCTACGGAAGACTTGGTTTTCTCTTGGATCCTCCTTTGTGTTTGTTACATGTCACGATTACGAGCCTTTATCTGCTAGGCTGGGTCTTCTATCGTTTACGAATAGAAGATTGACGGCTGACCTCCTGCTCTTGTATAAGATTTTAAGGGGTTGTATTGATTGCTCATATATTTTACCATTAATTTAACATTCCTGCGAAACCCTTAGATTCGATCCCTCTTCCTACGCAGATTTTCACCGTGCGTTATATAGGAGATTGAAGCCGATAAGTCGCCTTACACCTTACATGCGAATGATCTTCATCATATATTGATATACGTAACATGTTCTCGTGCTCATTTAAGAGCGCGATAATTACTTATTTGGGTTACGTAGATATTGTATATACTGTATGACTTATTTACAATTATACGTATTAATTTCTTTTTTCTCTCTCGTCCTTTGTATCTTTTCTCTTCTTTTTATTCTTTTTTATACTTTCTTCACTCAACTGAGTTTTTTGTTCTTTTGGGATGCATTATTATTATCATGTGTAACTCCATATATTGTGCGTCATACCAAAAATTATGATTCCATAAAATTTACAATAAACAAATAAATAAATAAATAAACTAAAACTAAAGTTTCCAAAACCGATTTCGGCCAAATAGATACACAGTCGATTGTTATTGTACTACCGCGAAGGGAAAAATCGATTGCGATTGGTCAGTTTCTTCTTATGGTTTTCTTATAATTTTTTTCAAACGAAATCATAGTTGCGGTTACGAATTTACAAAGGCCTTAACATTCGCACCGCGGATCGCCGATGTGCAACTCCCAACACCCGCGATCAGGTCGGGTATTCTGTCGGCTGAATGTAATTTGAGGATTCAATTGTTAGGGAAACGGGGTCCCGCATTCGTGGCGTGGGAATGTGGAAGAGGAAGCGACGAACTTTGTTGGCCCCAAAAGCGTGCGGGAAATTTCGGGATTGATGGCTTCTGCGGTCCTATATCGTCAGCATGTCGATAATTGCGGGGCTAATTAAATTCTAATGAAAGTCGTTCGATATCGGCGGGGTCTTCGTGCAAATTTAAATAAGAGACTGATCGTTTAATTGGAATAATTGATCATTCTCACCCAGATGCACCCGCGCGTAATCTTTTAAATATATCTGTGCCCGAGGGGTGCAAAACTCGAGATCTCGAAGCCGGAGATATCGAGACCTCGCGATATCGAGAGCTAACCTCTTCAAGCGAGATGTCGCGCGCAAAGTTAGGTTAAGATACTGAAAACGGAACATTTCTTGTAATTTATGAAACAAAATGAGGATGATACAAATTGGTGCGATATTGCGGAATTACGCAAAAGTCGCCAGCGGTTTGTACGCAAGGGGCGTGCAAAATGCCGCGAAACAAATCTACACAAAAACCGTGCTGCTCCCGCAAACCAACTTCCCGGCGCGTCTCGGTGGCAAGAAGAGAACGGAGATGGATAGTTATTTGATAGAAGTAGGTTTTCAGCGTCCTTACGCAGCTCTTACCACAATTCTTTCCTTCGCTCAAAATTGTCGGTACATAATTTGAAACGCTGGCATTTGAATAACCACACTGTCCTGTTAAAAATTGCTGAACTGTGTGCATGTTAAAGTTATAATTATACACAATGTAAAAGTCGGATGTATTTTTACAACAGAAATGCGGCTTCCTGGAATTGTACAAGTGGCAGAGGAAAAATCTCTCCGGGCCAGATTTTGTTCTGCACGATGGCCCGCCCTATGCCAATGGAGAGCCGCACATGGGCCACGCTATTAATAAGGTTGATAACTTTTGAAACAGGTTGGAGCCAACAATTCTGTCTTTATATGAACATTTTCCACATTCCTCTTGTGCGTTCACAGATCCTCAAGGATATCACTCTGCGAAGTAAGATCATAAGGGGTAGAAGAGTACATTATGTCCCAGGATGGGATTGCCATGGTTTACCAATCGAGCTGAAAGCACTCGGTGACATGAAAAATGTCGGTGCTTTAGAGATTCGTCGAAAAGGTATGTCAGACATAAACATCATGCTGTCAGGTCCTCTCTTAACGTTTCTATGCTGCAGCTCGAAATTACGTAAGCGATGCCATAGCGAAGCAGAGAGAGGTCTTTATGTCATGGGGTGCTATAGCTGACTGGAGTGAGTCGGGGTGTTACTTTACGAATCATCCTTCATATATAAAGAATCAACTGCAACAGTTTATAAACCTATATGAAAAGGGCCTCGTATACAGAGCCTTCAAGCCAGTACACTGGTCACCCTCCTCCAAGTATGTGCAATGTCAAATATTTGCAACTTAATATTCCATGCAATTCCCCTCTAATTCTTCTGTCAAATTACCTGCATCTCCGCCAATCACAGAACAGCATTAGCAGAATCGGAATTGGAGTATAACGAGTCTCACCGGAGCAAAAGCGTTATCGTTCGCATGCAACTCGACACATTGCCCTCGAACTTGAAGAGCTTGGGGAGCAAGGCGCTTCACGCGCTTATTTGGACCACGACACCGTGGACGTTGATAGCCAATCAAGCTATAGCGTTTTCCAATGACATTGTCTACTGTGTGGTGGAAGATAGCTCGAAGAACTTGTATATCATTGCGCAAGACAGCGTAACAAGTGTTGAGAAGAAGCTCGGCCCATTGAAGGCTATCGCGACCGTCAAAGGTAAGTCTTGGTGGTTCATGTTTCAATCTGTAAAAATACATTTACTATGAAGTATAATTTATTAACACAGGACAGGAGTTGGCGGAAGTGAGGTACCTCCATCCCATTACCAAGGAACGTTTACCTTTCTTGCCAGGCGCGCACGTTACGAACAGCGTTGGCACCGGATTAGTTCACATAGCTCCAGCACACGGCCCGGAGGACTTCCTCGTCGCGATAGAAAATAATATATCAGTAGTGAGTCGTCTTTCTTCTTCTGCTATGCTGAGATGAGTAGACACATTTCTTCTCAGGACGATCTTGTTGTAACAATGACTTGGCGACGACGTTGTTTCTTTTTTATCAGTAACGGCAGTAGGCTTACATCGATTGAGATTGTCTCGTTATTTTGAAATTTTGAGGTATCTTCTTAAGGTACATGCATGTCCAGTACCTTTGTTGAGATTCGCAGTTCTTAATTCGAATCACATAACTTGACAATCTTGACTCTGTCTCTCTGTTACAGTTATCCTTAGTAGACGATGAAGGATGCTACACCAAAGAGGCGGGCGACAAGTTCGCCGGCTTAAACGTGCTGACCGACGGTGCGGACAAAATCCTGAATTACATCGCCGCGGATGTGCTGCATGCCGATACAGTGACGCACAGCTACCCGTACGACTGGCGCACTAAAAAGCCTATAATCATACGCGCGAGTCACCAATGGTTCATAGACGTGAAGTCCATTAAGGAGGAGGCTATTGTAAGTCAATCGAGTATATACAGGGTGTATAAAAAGTACCGGGACGACGAAATATCTCGAAAACCAAGCATTTTAGAAAAAAATGTTTCAGACAAAAAAAGTTGTATGGTTTCAAGGAGGACTAAATAAAGCAACTGTATCATTTTGTTCACAGATGGCGTCACTTTCGAGATGTTCACTGATCATTACATTTTTTGAATGGAAGTCCCAATTTTTTATTATATCATCTCTTTCCAATTAATTTTAACAACTTTTGTCTGAAACATTTTTTTCTAAAATGCTTAGTTTTCGAGATTTTTGCCTGGCTCGTTTAAAATGAGACACCCTGTATACATGAGACGAAGCGCGTTGCTCTGAATCCGTACATTTTCACGGTGGACTCTTTTCCTTACGCAAGGACAGCATCGCGAATATAAGGATATATCCGCAGCAAAACCAGACGTCGTACTTGAACGCGTTACTCGCTCAAATTAAGCAGCGACCTTACTGGTGCATCTCCCGACAACGATCCTGGGGTACGCCGATTCCGGTGTTGTATAATAAGCAAACCGGCGATGTGTTCACAAACAGGTAACTCTTTGTCTTATTATTCTTCTATACAGGGTGTTAAAAAAAAGATTTAGGACTTTAAGGACAGATAGTACTCACAAAATGGAGAAAAGAGTCCTGATAGACATAGATTGAGAAATTAATATTCTCGAAATTATGAACAATTATTTATCTTAATTAAACCAAGTGACTTACTCGCTTCTGGTGTTTTTTTTTCCTTATTTGTACACATACTTCATCAAGCAATTGTTAGTCACACATTATCTTTATCATCACACGTTATCTTTGCGAACAGTGAACAACTGCAAAGAACTATTACAAAGTTTTCGCAGTACGATAAGAACGACATCATATTACTCTAATCAAGAAATGACAAAAATGCATTTCATGTATGGCCATGCAGTAAGTCACTTACTTTAATTAAAATAAAAAATTGTCTATAACTTCGATATTAATTTTTCGACTCATGTTTATGTGACCTTTTTCTCCATTTTGCGTGTATTTTCCGCCCTTAAAGTCCGGAAACGTTTTTTTTAACACTCTGTATATCTGGGTGAGTTTCAAAATTTTATATTCAATTTTCAAATTAATTATTCTTGCATATATTTTAAATATTTTACATATGTACGCGCGCGCACGCGCACAAATATTTTATACTTTACATATTTATTTTATTCATCTCTATGTATTATATTTAACTTTTTTAATTTCGTTTATTTTTTATCTCACCTATTATATTTTTATTTTATATGGATGTTATAAATAACGCAAATATGAAACAAATATAAGAGGACAAATGCTGAACAAAATCTGTTTATTATTTATTTTATATTATTTCTTTATTATTCGAAGAAGGCAGCTTTTAATTAGAAATATACCGGCAAATATTAATATTTCATAAGTCAAGCTGATACGATTAACGCAAGTTCTGCGATAAAAAGTGCAGTCGCAATACACATGCGTTTCTGTGTCTTCAGAAAGTGGGTCGAGAGATTGTGCAAACTGACGGAACGATACGGTCCCGATTATTGGTGGGAACTGTCGACCGAGAAACTAATCGGCCGCGAGCTTCGCCAGGAACTGACCGACAATATAGACAACTTGGAGAAAGGAACCGTACGTATGAGCGACGATCCTTGACAGCATCAGTCACGAATGCCAGTACTACCTAACTTTATTCTTGAAGGATATCATGGATATCTGGCTGGACAGCGGCCTGTCGTGGTCATCGGTTTTGCCGGAACACAAAGCGGACTTGTACTTGGAAGGAATGGACCAGTTTCGCGGTTGGTTTCAGTCATCATTACTGACGTCCATTGCTCTCCAGAAACGTCCTCCTTACAGGTAGCCGAACGCGCAGAAATTAAACATCGTGTCATTGAGAGACTTTGAAGATCTTACATTTTTTCCTCCTCAAAAGTGCCTTGTTCGTGCACGGCTTTGCTGTGGATGATAAAGCCGCAAAGATGTCGAAATCGATCGGGAACGTCGTGGATCCTGAAATCATCACCAAAGGCGGGGAGAACACTAGCAAGAATCCGACGTATGGCGTCGACACTTTAAGGTGATTGCTCATCAGGATTGGGAAGTTTTGCACAGTCCCTGCTGCGGACTCTGTCGAAAGATTGCTGACAAACACACAACAACACGATTTGATGACAAAGTATAGCTGCGTTCAGAAAACACAATGGGTGCATGAGTAACTCGTCAACGTCGTTGGCCCAAATGTAGGATCTAATAATTATCGACTGCTCACCGAGCGCTTTGTTTTCTGAACGCAGCCTATGATAAACTAATGGCAGAAGTGTCGAGCAATGGCAACGTAATTGTTTTTTAAGACCTAAGTACTCGCGGCCATATCGGACAGAGGCGAGAAATGAAGACTCTCGCGTGTCATTTCCAAATGAAAAGATACTGGAAAGAATACTTGAAGTCGCTAGAGAATATACTTGTGTAATGCTTCAAATGTTATGCTTCTCTCTCCATGATCAGTCAACAACCATAAAATAACCACAAGGCCTACTCATGCGCATATGTAATCGTGTCACATGACCGACCTCATATTGCAGTCATCTTACGGCTGTTTGACTTTCAACGGTGTTTTTGCCACAAATATCCTACTTGAGACTCCTGGCCCTTCGCCGCGGAATTCTTGGCCGGTGACATCAGAAGTGAGGAAACCCATGTTGAAAATTCCAATGGACTACGTCGAAATCAAAAGATTATTTCATCTCTTTATATTACATTATTATTTTATATTTTTTTATTATTTTACGGCTATTTATGGATTGTTGGAGCAAAAGCAGTTTCCGGAGCATTCTACCAATGAGTTCAAACGGGGAAAATCAATGTAGATTTCCCCGCTTCTGACATCGTTCAAGATAGCTGCGGCGAAGAGACAGAAGCCCTAATCACAATTCGTGAGAAGCAAAGCATTCAACGCTTAATGAAAATATCAACAGGTGGTGGGTAGCTAGTCACGCGTGCCAACACACTCAGGTCCCGGTCTCGACGACCTTGCTGCGCGAAAGTCACGAGTGTATCCAGAAGCTGCGGCTGATCTTGCGCTTCCTGTTGGGCGTCCTTCATTCGTACAGCGCGGGGGTCTCGGTTGAGCCGGAATATCTTTATCTGGACAAGTATATGCTGTACGCTTTACGTCAATATGATGAAGAGGTATCTATCATCGCAGAACGTAACGACAATTTTCACTTCTGTCCCTGCCAATGGATCTAACGACATCATCGTTAGAAGTCGAATCATCGTGCCAACTCTAACTCGTCTCTATTCTCTTCCCCAGGTCTAATATATCGAGAGAGATCACTGTAACATCCTGATTAATATTGTGCTAACATCGTCCTTTCTCTACTCGCAGATCCAACGATTATACGACGATTACTTGTACCACCACGCGAGCAAACTAGTCATGCATTTCCTGGCGAACACTGTGTCGTCGGTGTACTGCCACTTGATCAAGGACAGGCTCTACTGCGATAAAGCGGCGTCACCGACACGACTGGCCGCGGTGGAGGTAACGCGCGAGACCTTGACCGTACTCGCGAGGTCCATCGCGCCAATCGTGCCGCACCTGGCGGAAGAGGCATGGCTGCATCACCCTGAGAATCTGGGTAAGCGAGATCAGTGATGGGGTCTTTTGTTTCGTCACGTTGTGTTATTCGTGTATTATTTACAGCATCGGTGCCATTGTATCACACCGAGCACAAGGTATCGGAGACGTGGGACCAGCCAGAGATCGCTATGCACGTGGAGACAGCTTTACGCTTAAGAAGCAAAGTCAACACGATGGCTGACCAAAACACATGGGAATTATCTGGCACTGTAATAGCGTCGAAGGACTACAAATCTCTGTCGGTGAGTTGTTTACTTTGTTATTGATATTCAAAGAAACATTTGTTTTATACAGGGCTTTTATACAGGGTGTCCGGGATCTTTTGGGAACGAGAAATTGTGAAGATTAATCAGATCAAAGTGAGAAGAAAAGTCATGCACCATTTTGCAAAAATCGCAAGGGTTATTAAGTGATTAACATGACTGGAAATGGCTACATTTTTTAATTGATAATTTGTGATTTTTGTTTGTTTGTTACTTGAAAATTTGTGAAAACTTATTTGCAAAGTGGTAAAGCACTTTTTTTGTTCAGAATGATCTAATCTACAATTATATGACGACTATTGTGTCTAGTTGAACTTTGAATTCTGAATTTTGAACCTGTCACTAGACATAATAGCCGTCATGTAATTGTAGGTTAGGTCATTCTGAACAAAAAAAATTTATCATTTTGCAAATAAGTACGGAAATTCAAAGTTACCAATTAAAAGAGCATCTGGATGTGGTCATTTTCAATCATTAATAATTTAATAACTTATTACGATTTTTGCAAAATGGCATATAACTTTTCTTCTCAGTTTAATCTGATTAATCTTCATAATTTTTCGTTTCCAAAAAATCCCGGTCACCCTGTATATGTGATATTAATAAATTGATATTACTTTCTAAAATTTCAAAATTTTAGTACAATAATAAAATATTCATTGTACTAAATCAAAAGTGCTATAATGAAGATTCTAAAGATCTTATTAAAGGTAAAAATTGCGATATTTTATTCAATATACAGGATGTCCGAGATCCTTTGAAAACGAAAAATTGTGAAAATTAATCAGATCAGACTGAGAAGAAAAGTCATGTACTATTTTGCAAAAATCGTAATAGTTGTTAAGTTATTAATGATTGAAAATGAACAGAAATTTTCAAGTTATCGATTAAAAGGGCCTCTAGATGTGGTCATTTTCAATCATTAATAGCTTGATAACTATTGCAATCTTTGCAAAATGTCAACATAACTTTTCTTCTTTTCTTTCTTTGATCCGATTAATCTTCAATTTTTCGTTTCCAAAAGATCCCTGTATATAATTCAATATATTAATTTTGTAATTTTTTTTTAAATAAATTCCCGAATATATATTATTACCTTTTTGGCCTGGAAAAATAACTGGGCCTCTTCACTATATTTTAATGGGACATACCGCAGATTCTGCTTGGTTTTTACCACCGATTTGTCAAGTTGTGTCAGGCTCTGTCGACGGAATACGAGCTTGATGCGCACACAGATGGCTTCGAATCCGCCATGATACTCTGATCGAATCTGCTGCCAGGCACACAGCTAGCATTTTATTTATCGAGATATATCCATAAAATGACACTTGTGATGGATCGAGCACATTTGTGAAACATTTTGAAAATTTTTCTTTCGCTTCAACAATCAACAGACGACTATAAAATTAGCGTGACAAAATCAGGAGAAAAGAGCTAAGAGGGAAGATTGCACGTGTCACGTTAATTACACAGTTAGTCATCGACTACTGGAACAAAAAGAAAGAAAAGTTTCCAGAATATTCCAGAAATGTGCCCGATCGATCACGAGTGCCGTTTTGTGGATGCATTCTTTTATTTCAACGTATTTCTCGCTGGAGTTTGGAGTCCCGTTCTCTCGCTTTTCGAGTGTCGTTGAAAGTTACTAAACAGGCCTGAACAGGAAGAATCATACTAAAGAGCGATCGAGTAAAATTAACAAATCAACATTTATTCATTTATTCTCGCAGATACTTCAAAGAGACCGAGAATCTTCCACGTCGGAATTGTGCGAGATTCTACAGCTGTCGTCGATCACGCTGACGGAGTCGTCCACGGTGACTGAGACACAGGTCGAGCTACGTAATACCGAGAAAACGCTCTGTCAACGGTGCAGGAGGCACCCCGAATCAGACAAGAACGGGCTGTGCAGCCGCTGCATTAAGGTGCTCGACGTGACGAATCTGTCATCGATATCCTTGTAAGCATAACGTTCGCTATTTCTTAACACGACTGATGTTCATTTTGCTAAATAAACCAACGTAAAAAAAAAAAAAAAGTCGAGAGTTGAATAATCTCTCCAACTTGGGAATAAGACGTACAACCAACAACAACGCCTACACTGCCTTCCGCGCCCAACGTGTCTCGACCGCGAAGAGGAATCGCGAGAGTATTCAGTCGCAAGATCGCTGCTGCTTCGTCGTCAGGTCGTACATGTGATTCATATTTAAAGCATTGAGGAAGTGGGTCAGGTGCGGCTGATAGCCGCTAATAGCCAGTTTGTGCGCTACGTGTGCCATATAGGTCCGCCACTCGCAGAACGACTGGTACATCTGCTCCAGGCTCTTGAAGTTCGGGTGGCTGCACCGGCCTGTGCTCCCGACCGTCCAGATCTGCGAGCGCAGTCGGTTGTGGAACTTTAGTATGATCTTGAAGATGTTGATCAAGCACACGCGCATCTTCTCCCCGCGCGTGTTCAGCATACACCTGAAAGTCGTGACTCATGTTCAAGTTCAGACACGGCTGGTTAGGTCCACATAAGGGATTTTAGAAGAAACAAATCCTCTCTCCTCTAGAAATACTTCGAAGAAAAGCTATGTTAAAACCGAGCGTACGCTTGAGAGCTGATCGTGAATTTTTGATTAAAGAGTGGAGAGTGAATCGCTTCCACTCTGCAAGATTCACGATCCAGAATTAGAATTAAAAGTAGACTATGCAGCTTGCGGAACGCAGTCATTGGCTCAGATGGAAATTTTCTCTCATGACTGATTCCTCAATTAAATATTTATATCAAGCAAAGGTCAGGTATTCGTACGAAGCGCTTCGATGCGGTTTGTACGCTTTTACTTTGATGAAGCTCAAAAGACGCAGACAATGTCCAATGGAAGCGACTGTCGGAAAACAAGTTCTTTCATTGGATCACAGCTTACGCGCATAACTCTCTTTCTCTGAGCGAGAACTGATGAGAACGGACACTGATTCTGGTTTTTCCAAAGTACAAGACAATACCTCGAGAGTATCCTCTTGATGTAGTTCATATGTGACAGGTGAATCTCGTCGATCGTCCGCGAGTTCTGCAGGTCCTTCTCGAACTCGCTCCAACTCGCGTGCAGCACGCTACATGTCAGGTAGTTGTGAAGCGCGTTCATGAACTGGGTCATGGAATGTCTGTACAACTGAAGCTGCAAGTGAACCATAAATTAATCCTTAAAAGGGAAAATCACGATAACACTATCATGGGTTTTCACCCCGCTTTTTATATTGTTTTATGTTAGAAATCAAAAGAATTTATTGTTATTGAATATTAGATGAAAAGTGGAGAAGTTGTGGTTCGCAGCAGATAATTTAACAAGTTCGGGACAATATATATACATAAGGTGGAATTTCGCTTATGGTGTAGCCCTTAACCCTTTGAGGCATAGTGGTAAGTATACTTACCACCTATTTATTCTCACATTTTCATGAAATATTTTATATTTGAGGAATTCTTGTCGGATTTTTTGCGTCTTTTAGCTTCTTATATGATATGGGAACATACATGAAAGGTTGAAGTTTCGCATAAGTTGTCCATTTATTATAAATAAACAAAGTGTGAAAAATATACATTTTATAGGAAAAAATAATTTTCCACGAACTATGAGTGAAATTTTTGCTCAAAATCAAAATTTGGGGGTTTTTGGGCCGCTGATTACGAATCTGAGGTCCAAATTCCAAAATTAATTTTCCAAGATGGCGGATCATACAATTTTTATTAAATTAGCTAAAATTGTACCCTGGTTAATTTTTGAGGTCGCTAATTACGAATCTGAGGTCCACATTCTAAAATTATTTTCCCAGATGGCGGATCATAGAATGTACATAAAATTAGCTAAAATTGTACTCTGGTTAGTTTTTGAGCCCGCTGATTACGAATCTGAGATCCAAATCCTAAAATTTATTTTCCAAGATGGCGGATCATAAAATTTTTATATGATTAGCTGAAATTGTACTTTGGTTAGCTTTCAAGGTCGCTGATTATGAATCACCGATGTCACCGAATCGCGATTTTTCATATTTGTAGCTGCCATCTTGAATTTCGAAAATCTGATAACGGATTCCTCATCAGCGACTCCAGAAACCCCCGTATATAAATTTTTATGTAATTCGCATTTTCTGAAAAATACGTGCTTCAAAGGGTTAAGGGTTCATCACGAGTAATCTTCCAACGTTCCTATCGCGATGCCGACAGGAATGAGCGTCTTACTTTGTGATACTGCTCCGACACCACCACGTTACGGTCCACTTTCATGATATTGAAGTCCTCTTTCAGCACCCACGACATTCTGCCAGTCATTATCAGGAACTTGAACACTTTGCTGTACTGCAGCATCACCGTGTCGTCGAAAATAATATTCAGCGGCCATGATATCTTGTAGTTGAGACAGAGACACTCTAGGACATTCGGGTCTGATATCTGAAGGAAGAAGCGTCTGATTATTGCATGAGAAAACCGAAGCTCGTACAACTGAATAAGGAACAGACGAGAACATTCGTCTAGATACAGAGCTGTGTTATGACTTGGTTGAGGTAACCGGGAGCAACAGACAGAAGTCTCCTGCTTAGGATTTCCTAAAATCTTGAGGGACCTTTCTCTTCCTACAACGAACGTCCTTCAGCAGAAAATTCAGTCGCACTAACACAGGCTTGTTCCTTTTAGCCGAATTAGTGCTGTGTTTTGTTCCTTTTATGCAGGATGTCTGGCGATAATAATAAATAAAAATGAAGTCAAACTAGACAAAAGATTCCTCTAGGTCAAAACGAACGAAAGTCTTCTATTATTTTATAAAAAAAAATTAGTTGATGAAGATTTAATGTCTCTTTTAATTAATAATTCAAAATTCGATGTAGTTTTTTGTAAAACGATGGGGAACTTTTTTGTCCAGTTGGGTCCAATTTACAAGAGCGACGACAGATGTCGCTATCACAGCTCGTTTAACGGATCGTGCAGGTTTTCTGATAACTCAATATTAACTTGATAACTCAAAATTTTACGTGGTCGTTCTCGCAAATAGTTGAAGAATTTCTCTTCAGTTTCGTATATGAAGCTACACTATATATAAGTATATAAGAGTACTTTGTACGCGTCATCAGACACCCTGTTTATTTGTTTCACTCCAAAGGCAAAAGTTGCAGCTTATTTCGGATAAAAAGAACACATCTATTATCACACGTATCTCAACCAAGCTTGGAAAGTATATAACATGTAATGCCATTAGAAATTACTTTTATTCACCAACTACTTTGCCACAGCTTCACAGCTTTTTTTATTATTATTAATAATAAAATAATAACGCAATTACATTTTGAGATAACGGCAATGGAAATAAAAAACTTGATAGAGAAAGCAACAGAAAATATAACTCAATATAACTCATGAAAGTAAAAAAATATAAAAGTAAACAAAATACAACTTACAGAAGTAACAGAAAATGTAACATTATTTCTTGAATAACGATAACAACAACGAGTTCTTTCTTTTCTAAACAACCAGCGCTACCGAATTGTTTCTCTCAAATAAACAGAAAAAAGAGAAACAAACAACCTTACAGTTACCTTAACAAAGTGATCCTCCCAACTCAACGAACTTGAAGAATATTCGAGAGAAATATTGAAATATTGAGGAAGTGATACTCACATACAACTGGCGCGGCTTGTTGACGGCAGACAGGCTCAAGAGCTCAGAGTTGACGTAATTATTGCTGAACGAGTTCATCAGTGCCTGCTCCAGGAGATTCGTCAGGGTGGCGGAGTTGAAGAGCTCGTTCGGCGCGGCTATCGCGTAGAGGCGGGCATACAACGAGTCCGTCAAACTCTTGGCGAACTCGCCGTTCAGCAGGAAGAAGTAGCTGCGCAGGCTGTGCAGGTGCAGCAACATATTGTGCTCGTCTAATAGGTACTTGATGACGGCGTTGTTGACTAGCCGACTCTGTATCTGCAGCGGGATGATGATAGACTTCTCCAGGTAGCTGTGGAGGGAGACGTGGTCGATCATCTCGACGTCGTCCGCGGTCAAGGGCGAGAGGCAGCTCCCTTGCGACCTGAACACAGAGCTCAAGCCGAAGTTCAGCCGCTGCGGCTTGTAGTCATCGATCGAGAAGTCCAGGCATGTCTCCTCGGCGACGGACCTCTCCATGTTGGAAGACAAGCACGAGGTCTCGGGGCCGGCGTTCGGCGAGGTCAGGTCGTCGGTGATCGGCACCTGCGACAAGGGCGTGTGAGTCGACTGCGTGGTGAAGTGGTCGGTCGTGCACGACATCGGTGTGTCCGCGACGTTCTGCTGCGGCAGAACATTCCTGAAGACCAGCTCTCGCGCCCTGTCGTTCGCGTTGCTCCCCTGCGAGCACTCGTAGTTCCTCATGAACCCGTTCGCGCTTCTCTCCGGGAGCTTGACGTCGAGCGATATCGGCGGGACGTTGTTGTTGACATTCTCCGCCGCGCCGCCGCCGCCCACTCGTCCATCTGAGTTGTCGTTGATGTTTGTGCGTTCTGTTTGAACCGCGAGTATCGTGCTGAACTCGTTGTTGTTCGGCGTCATGCCGTACTCCTGCAGCAAGACCTTGAGTTTGTTAGCCTGCGCGGCGGTCATGTTGTCTATCTTGTCGATGGCCAAGGATTTAGGCCTGTCGATGGTGCCGATGATCTTCCCGGTCAGCCCGGCAACGTCCAGGATATTGTTCAGCCGAGCGTCCAACACCGCCGTGTTCGGCGTCCGCTCGTTCATGATGATACGGATGTCCTTCATCGCCTCATCGCGCAGGAAGTCCTGCAGGTTGCTCCTCTCGTTGTTCTTCTTGTAGATCTTGTAGTTCAGCGGCGGAGACTCCCGCGGCAGGCGCACGTTCTGCGTGTCTGTCACCGTGCTTTCTTCATTCGACGTGACGTCCTTCTGCTTGGAAGTAGGATTGTCCGCAGGCGACGCGCCGGTATCCGTGGAGACGATCACTTCGCTGGGCGATGCAATGCTCGCCGGGCTCGCGGGGTTAAGAATGTCCGTCGTGGCGTCTGTCGCCCTGCTGTCCGCAAAGTTGCTGTTCTCGTCCTCGTCAGCTGCGAATTCCCCTTCGGACATCTCCATGGACACCTCCATCGTTGACGAGACGGGAGTCTCTTTGCTCGGCTCGTCAGTGTCGATGAGGTCGACGTTGTCGTCCGAACTCGGTGTGCCGACACTCTCCGACATCGTCCTGTCGCGCCTCTTCAGGGATTCCAGCAGTTCTACTCGTCTCTCAAAATTGTTCATTCTCGCCTTACGCCAATTAGATCGGAGGCGGCTCATTTCTAAATCGCTAGCTAACTTTTCGTAGTAACTCACAAGGTGCTCCCTAGAATAAAATTAGAAGTTTTCAGACATTAAACAGCCAGCTTTCATTCTGAATGTTCTTGTCCAAAATATAAACATGGGTAAAAATTGGAGAATCACATTTTTTACTTCGGAGGGTAAACGAAATTCAACGAACTGTAACTTTAATGAAGATTTTGCGTCTTGCTTTTACGTTTTATATCTAGCGTCATTTCTTAGGTTGGCTCAGAGGCTTCAAAGTGTGCAAGATATCTACCGAAAAGCCCTCCTCTCCCTCGTTATTATTTTGACGAAAGTTGCAGCTCATTGAAGTTTATGTGTTTTTCATCATTGAGAGAAATGATCTTTTCATTTCCATCACATTAAAGGCTCACCGTTCGGCCCTCTGTAGCTCCCGCATTTCTTCCTGCTCCCGATTAATCTTCTCGAGCAACAATTTGTCGGCTAACATTTGGAGTTCCTTCTCCTTTTCCTTGAATAAGGCATTTTCCTCCACCTGATTCTTCAACGCTTGCAGCAACGCCCGCTTATTTTGTGCAGTCTTCACGACAAGTTCCTCGCGTTGTTCTAAGTAAAATATTAAAAGAGCGGTTAGAAACAAAAGAATTTTTCATTCATAATATAATAACGATCGAAAGGAGAGAATCTGAATAAGAGTATCAGTCAGTTATCAAGACACTATATGACAAATGATAAAATTGATTATAATTTTTGTATATTATATATAAAAATCATACGTGTATATCTGAAAGGATAACATTTAAAAAAAATAAGTACAAAAGTTCTAGAGCCTAGAAATGGACATCTAGTGGTGAACTTGAACTTGACCTAGGGGTCAAATTTTGAGATCAAATCAAGGTCAACTTTAAAATCGTAAATGAAAACCTCTATTTTTTATTACATAATCTCTCTCCACCAATTAATTTGAACAACTTTTGTCTGAACATTTTTTTATTTGCCTAATATTTTTTTAGATATTTAAAGAAAACTTTTTCAATGTTTAGCTTATGACATCTCGATAATTAATTATCGGAACAAAAAGTGATATTAGACTTTTTTTATGCTGTTACAATGGTGCCCTAACTTTTGTTAACTTAATGACTTTTGAAAATTTCAAAATCAATCAAGTTAGAGTAAAAAAAGTCTAGTATCACTTTCCCTTCCAATAAATAATTATCGAGATATCGTAAGCTAAATATTGAAAAAGATATCAAGTTTCCCTCATCTCATATCTCAAAAAATATTAGGCAAGTAAAAAAATGTTTCAGATAACAACTGTTCAAATTAATTGATAGAAAAATATGGTTTAATAAAAATAAGGATTTCCATTTAAAGATTTCAAAGTGGTTTTTGACCTTGACAAGGTCATATTAATATTGCTCTGTAAAGCGTTACTTGAAATTCTACAATTTTGTATAAAACGTTTTTCTCTAAAATGCTTTATTTTTTAGATACTTGACCGTTCCGGGACTTTTGGGACACTCTGTATTGATTAATAATTCGTTAATACTTCAAACCCTTTTTGTTGTTTCACATCTTATTTTTGTCCCTTTTCATGTCTTCCTACGGTTTTTACATTTTAGATATTTGAAGTTTATTTATTATAGGATATCTTGAAAATACCGGAATCCCCGGATAACTTTGCAGGATCAAGTTTTCATGAAAAACTTTAAATACAAAAGTTGTAGAAAATCGAGTAACGGATGGTGACCTTGAATTTGATCTTGGCCATGACCCTCAACTTGGTTGAACTTGGAGGTCAACTTGCGTTTTTTAAATGGGAACCCTTATTTTTTATTACACTTTTTTTCTACCAATTTGAACAACTTTTGTCTAAAACATTTTTTTATTTGCCTAATATTTTTGAGATATTTGAGGAAAACTTGATAACTTTTTCAATATTTAACTTGCGATATCTCGCTAATTATTTGTCGGAAAATACTGGTACTAGACTTTCTTGTTTTATTTAGTCTCAAGAATATATTGTTACAACAGTGTCCTGATTTTTGTTAATTTGATAATTTTGAAATTTCCAAAAATCAGTGAGTTAACAAAAGTCAGGGCGCTATTGTAACAATATATTCTTGAAACTAAATAAAGCAAGAAAGTCTAGTACTACTTTTTCTTCCGACAAATAGTGAGATCGTAAGTTAAATATTGAAAAAGTTATCAAGTTTTCCTCAAATATCTCAAAAATATTAGGCAAATAAAAAAATGTTTTAGACAAAAATTGTTCAAATTGGTAGAAAAAAAGTGTAATAAAAAATAAAGGTTCCCATTTAGAAAACGCAAGTTGACCTCCAAGTTCAACCAAGTTGACCTTGAGGGTCATGGCCAAGGTCAAATTCAAGGTCACCATCAAGTCTGTTACTTGATTTCCTACAACTTTTGTATTTAAAGTTTTTCATGAAAACTTGATCCTGCAAAGTTATCCGGGGGTTCCGGTATTTTTAAGACATCCTTTATAGGAATAGTATAGAAAGTATAGAAAGAAAAGAAAAAATATATATATGAAAATATTACTATTGATCCTCGATAATGTCTCCTGCTGCGCGCGTATCACGAGTTCGGCTGTTTTCCTCTCGGCTTTCTTCTGGTCCTGAATGGCAGACAGAAGCGACACTATCAACCCCAACGCAGCCTCGCCTTTGCGTTCGTATTCCTGACAGCTCGACAGCTGCTCTTGCAGCATCAACTCGGTTAGGCAAACCCGCACTTCCGGTTGAGCAGTGATGGACAGGTTGCAAACTGGATTCTAAATAAACACAGATAACACGGAATCCTGTCAAAAGCTCACGATCAAGTCGTCGAGGAGGTCATAGTGAGAAGCAACAACCTTCGGACTGCAAATCTTCAAAAGTCGCAACGTCTTTCCGCACTGCAGGATCGATTCCGACAGGTCGGACAGGAAGCCGGGTACCGAGTCGACATCAATTGCGAAGCCCTCCGTCCAGAATTTGCGTCCTCTCTTTCGCAGGTACTGAGATCGCACCTGGATCATAAACTCCCCGTAGACATCGTCGCATGTCCCTTCAAACAGCCAATTTTGCAGAAACCTGAAAAACCGATGCACTCGCGTTCAACACAGCATTGTTCTTGTCTCACGGAAAAGAATCAGGAGTGGGAAAGTCGTTCTTTGAAAGCAACTCGTTACCAACTGAAGAAAACGATACTCTGTCTATCATTTATTTGCTTTGAAGAAAAATGATCGAAAATAAATCATTATTCAACGACAACGATAACGATGTTACAATTTTCTTCTTTACTCTCTCTGTGCGAACTTCAAAAAACATTGTTTACTTTTTCCGGCAAAAACAAATACATATTTACTCCGCAATTTGAGTTCTCCTCGAGTGTGAAAAAAATCATTGTATATTCTACACAATTATATTAGTTGCCGTTATCAGAAGAAAAGTAATTACATTACCGTTACTAATGGAAGAAGACGACATTGCTGAAGAAAAGGCAATTTTTAGCAATAAAAGCGCTGCAAGTAACTTTCTAACTCTGCTTCTCTCTAATCGCAAAGAATGCAGGACGGATATGCCTTACCGAAAGTACACCTCGCAGCATGATTTCAATATCGAATAAAACACCAGCACGACGTTCGGGTCGGTGACTTTGGTCACTTCCTTGTAGATGTGCGTCAAGATCCCGCTGCCGGCGGCCAAGGTACACTGGCCGTGCTGCTTACAGCCGCAGAGTCTCGCAACCTCCACGATCAGGCGCGTCAGCGGCCGGACTTTCTTCAGCAGACTCAACAGCCCGTGAAACGCGTACTGATTGAAGGTATTTTGTAGTGCCGCTTGATAGTACAGCAGCAGCTCTTTAACGTTGGTGCACATCGCCTGTTGAATTGGAGAGAAACGGTGAGTTCAAGGATCCAGCTTGAATGTAAGATGCGAGGGTATACCTTGAATATGAGACCGTCCTGCTGCAGTCTGCCCGTTTGCGGGTCGGATGCGACGAGTCTCGACAAGGACTTGATACTGTTGCCCCAGCCGACTGCCTCTCGACAGGCGATCGTCAGCGACCCCGGACTTATACCGGGCACGGTAATGTTCTCCTCCAATTTAAATTCCGTCTGAAATACAAGCGTTCCTCGTAGCGATCGTGTAACTTGAGAGAAGGACATAGTCGACGTTAGCGTTGGGCGTCAGCCAATTCAAGTCTCAATTGATTAATAATTGCTCAGTTGACCGATTAATTACTTAGGGCCGGTTCTTCCAACCTCTTGGTAAATTAACTGATAGTTAAATCACATGTCTGTCTTTGTTTTTCCTTCAATAGAAGGAAAGACAAAGACAGACATATGATTTAACTATTAACTTACTGAGAAGTTGGAACCGGCCCTTAATGAGATTAATCGCTGATCGGCGTATAATTACAATAATCAACCGAAACAGTCATATGCAGCCGCTCGATTTCGTTAATTTTGATCATTTTAGTCAACCGGAATTTTTCAATTGATTAACCAACGCTGAGACTCGGTCAATAGTCTGGATTCCGACGTCGCTTCCTACATGGATTTTTTTCTGACGTTTCGTGAACGTTTAGATTAAGCATTTCTGCACACCATGAAAGATTCAAGCACCAAACTCTGAATTACGCATTGTGCGATTTTAGCGATGTAATGATGGCTGATTCAATCCGTACCACGTTATCGTACACGAAGGAGTCCGAGTCCACGCCAACCAGCAGCAGCTTGACGTCGGATAAGAATTTTTTCAGAGGGACCTCTCGAATCAGCGGTACGGAAGCCATTGTCTGTAACACGAAGAGCGCAATTTTTACATGATACATTTGCGCAAATGTCGCTGTTTTTACCTTCTTTGGCAGCAGTAATAAAATACTTGTTTGTCTTATCCTCGCCAGGTGCAGCATTGTCTCTGGCAGATCAGTAACAAATGGCATTTGCTTGGGAGATTCCACGATTCCGAGGGATTCCCATGTGCGTAATTTGGAGATGCAGTCGTCAGAGGGCTGTATCTCTTCCCATATTGAATTATTATCTCTAATGTTTTCCGCTTTGTTTGTAAGATTACAATCGGAATCATCCAGTGACCACGCACACAGGTCTACATTTTCTTTTTGATTTTCCACAGGCTTTACCCACTCGTAAGGCAAGGTCATGTCTGATATGAATTTTTGAGTGGACAAATATTGTTTACTAGTTTCTTCTATGTCGACCTGCTAGAGAATGACACAATTTACATGAGCAATGTGTGTGTGTGTATCAAGAGCATGAGCAAGAATGTCACACAGTCTTACCATAAGATGCGTCAAAAAAGGAGTGACCATATTGTACTGTTTCAGTATATTGTCGCTGCAATTTGATATACAAGGAGCCATTGCAATGGCATTGTTATACCTAAAACAACACCTTATCATGTAGAAGAGTTTTAATAAGCACAAAAAGCATCAAGAATCATACCTAATTGTTTCTATCCCGACTATGGCTTTAGATATATGCTGATCTTCAAAGGATACTCTACTAACAAAACTAGCGGATGTGTCTTGCTTAGGATATGTTTCGCAAATACCCAACACAGCTTCAAATTTCTCTGGTAAGACAAAAGACTCCATAGGATACGTCTGAAACATGGGTACACCATTTGTGCATGTGACATCTTCAGGCAGGAGAGGATTGGTTTTGCCATAGTGAAATATATCCTGGAAAGATCACAGAGAAGGTTAAACTTACTTAGCAGTTTTGACAACAAAGCAATAAATGAAACAAAGTCGAAAAATATTCACCAGGGTAGGCTGTGTGGCAATCTGAAAATTTTTAAGCTGTATTAGCAACTGTAGAACAGGGTCAACCACAGTCTCCACATTGGTCTCCTGACTGAACAAGTCGTTTATTAAATTCTCCAATTCTTCAGCTTCCGATATACGTCTCAGGGACAGTTTGAGTACAAAAGCGTGCTTTAGTGCCTGCACTAAGGGGTCAGCCTTAAGATTCGCTCTGTTTCCTGTAATTGCAGTAAAAAGTGTCATTGCTCAAGTCAAATGTCAATGCTGTTGCTCAAGAAATATACAGTCTATTTATATCTTATCGGTATTTGTGAGTATCACGTCATGGACGTATGCACATGCAGTGTACCTTCATCGTATACTCTGTTACTTTTATCCAACAATATCTCAAAGGCCTTTGAGCGGAGCCTCTTCACTATTTTCACATCGTCCCTGGGAGGCATGTAGAAGTTTCCATTCTCAGGACAGTTCCGTCGCAACGTGTGCCTGACTAGTTCCGTCACAAGCTCGTAAACATTAACGTCTCGCGGTCCTGATTCCATGATCGAAATACTCCTTCAAACGATTGTTGATTAACCGTTGCGACGAGCCGCAACGGTAGGCAACGATCACTCTCATAGTGCCATAATCAACCATAACAACACGACTCGCACGCCCCGAATTGAGAGATCCAATGATAAAAGAACGGTATATTTTCGTTCGCGCATGCGCAGTCGCCGGGCCTCAGGGAAGTACGTATTCCGTTAAAATTTAAGGTATCTTGGGGATCCTGGATAGAAAAGAAATGTAAAAGGTATAAAAATAACCGTAAGATAGTTGCGTTAGGAGACAAACAGGACTCTTGTTCTCGAAAATTTGTAAAAAATATCGCATGTAAGATATTTTATCATGAGAGAAGACAGGTTAAAAAGATCGTTTGTATGTCACGTTAATTTCATGATAACTGATTGATTGCTCGAGTAAAAGGAAATCACTTTTTGATAATTTTTAACAAGAATATTTTGCAAGAGTTTGTAGCGTGCCTCATTTCCGGAAATAAATAATCAAAAGCCTTGAGTTATTTTCACTTCGGCACTGTGTAAACAACAGCAATTTAATACACATAACCTGTTAAGCCAGTAACAATAATATTACGTTAACCAGTAACAATAACATTACATCAATGTCACGATTTCCCATTTGATGATGAAGACAATAAGACAATGATAAAGATCACTCAATAGATATTTTTTAATTTGAGTTGTTCGGAAAGTAATTTCGTTTTTTTCAAATGGATAGTGTTGGTTGCCTTTTTAAGCGGTTAACCTCATTCTAAACCAAAAAATCATTTTATATTTTTACAACGCACATTTCAAACTTCATTTAAAAAAAGAAATTGTTTTGGAATCTGTCAAGTTGTTTTTGTTTGGCGTCGCATCAAAAATGGAGGACCAACATGAGCATTTTCGTCACATTTTGCTTTTTTATTACTGTAAAGGCAAAAATGCAGCGCAAGCAAGAAAAAAATTGTGTGCCGTGTATGGAGAGGACGTGTTGACTGAACGCCAGTGTCGAATTGGTTTTCGAAATTTCGTTCTGAGAATTTCGACCTCAAAGATGCATCACGTTCTGGAAGGCCAGTTAAAGCTGATGAAGACCAAATAAAGACATTGGTGGACGCAAATCGTCATTTAACAACGAGACATTGCTGAGAGGTTGAATTTATCGAATTCGACCATGCATAAGCATTTGAAACAACTTGGTTTCGTTTCAAAGCTCGATATTCCACACGTTCTCAAAGAAAGAGATTTAATTCGTCGTATTAACATCTACGATTTGCTGTTGAAACGTAAGGAAAACGATCCATTTCTGAATCGACTCATAACTGGAGATGAAAAATGGATTGTGTATAATATTAAACGCAAAAGATCATGGAGCAGACGTGATGAACCAGCTCAAAGCACATCGAAAGCCGATATCCTTCAAAAGAAGATGATGCTCTTATTTGGTGAGATTGGAAAAGAATGGTTTTTTTGAGCTGCTACCAAACAACCAAACGATTGATTCGAATATGTACTGTCACCAATTAGACAAATTGAATGATTCCATCAAGCAAAAGAGACCAGAATTGGCGAACAAAAAAGGTGTTATGTTTCATCATGACAACGTTAGACCTCACACAAGTTTAATAACTCGCCAGAAATTGTTAATGCTTGGATGGAATTTGCTACCGCATCCACCATATTCCCTTGATCTGGCACCATCCAATTATCACTTGTTTCGATTACTACAAAACTTTTTGGATAGTAAAAATTTCGATTCAAACGAAGGTGTCAAAACCCACTTGATTCACTTTTTTGCCAATAAGAACCAGAAGTTCTACAAGCGCGAAATCATGTTATTACCTCAAAGATCCCAGACAGCACAATGTTCAAAACTGGGACATAAGACGTCTTTAAGACGTCTTTAAGACGACTCAAAGATGTCTTATTTTCAAACATCTTAAAGACGACTTAAAGATGTCTTAAAGACGTCTTATGTCCCAGTTTTGGATATATGTGCTGTCTGGGATGGCAAAAGGTGTTGGAACAAAATGGTCAATATACTTAACAGAATAAAACTTTTCTTCCCATTAAAAATATCGTCTTCCATTTTCATGCAAAAAACCGAAATTACTTTCCGAACAACTCAATAGTTTTCTTCTCACGGAGACCTTTCAACGGCACCCTGCGTCGATAGGCAAAACGTGCTCCGTCGACGACCGCGCATACGCGAGCACGGCTATTTACTCTTCCCCCTCTCCCCTCTCCGTCTGCTCGCGTGATGAAACGCCGCAACGGCGACACGCGCAACTCGAATTTGCGTAACATGCAATTTAAAAATAAACAGACACGCGGGCGTCACGCGATTTGTATTCGCGCTGCGAGAAAAAGTGTATCGGAGGAGCGGGTGCACCGCTGTCATATGCTGTGATATATAGTCGGTGTGGACTTATCGTGCGAGAATCGAGGCCGATATCTCGTTCTCGCGCGAGATGCGTCTCCCGTTTGCGCGCCGCAGACACGTGGAAACGCTTGAAACGCACAAAAGGCTGCGCACTCTCGCAGCAACCGTGGACCGTGAATGCAACGTCGGGGTTTGACCTCGATGGCAGATCGTTGTGTATAAACACACGAGTCATTGTTTGCAAAGGAGAGAGGGGGAGGGGGTTATACGAACGAGGTGATGCAAGAACGAGAAGCAATGGAAGGAGACGCCTATGATGTAGTAATTAATTAATTTTATTGCGATATTATACATATGCACACATACATGCGTACGAATATTGCGATGGTTTTGTGTGTGTGTAAAATTATACGCAAATGCCTGTGACATGGTGACCTCTCACGCACCACACATGCACGTCTAATCATGGCGTGTATACATTGTGTATACATATGTATCTGTTTCTCTCTCTCTCTCTCTCTCTCCCGTCCTCCTTTCTTTCTCCCTTTTCATCACACGTATGTACGTATATGTATAATAGTAAACATACGTCCGTCGTTGATGCGTATGTGTCAACACTGTACAGCGTAGTCCATCTACCTTGTATCATCCAAAACCTCTCTCCATAGTGCTCGTGTATTTCCAACTATAGAAAAATAACGTTTCAGATAAACACCATCATCATCATCATCATCATCATTATCATCATCATCATCATCATCATCATCATCATCATCATCGTCATCGTCATCATCGTCGTCGTCGTCGTACACACGTCCTCACGAAAGGTGCAAAAAAAAATAAATCTCGTTTCATCGCACCGCAAAACTCTACCGCGATTTTGTAAACGCAACTATATATTATCGAGACACCGGCCCCCCGTAAATGCTATTCGCTACGTATCAGGTTTCTCCTTGTTCTTCTCTTTTTCTTTTGCTTTTTGTTTTCGCTCATGTCCCTTTAACGCTCCGATGTTCTACGAAATTTACGATTAACTAAGATTGCACACAAACAGCGAACCGATCGAGAGAAATTAGCTGTCGGATCTAGCTTCTTCTTCTTCATCATTATCATCATCATCGTCATAATCACCACCGCTATCATCTTCATCTTCTTCATCATCGTCATCATCATCATCATCATCATCATCAATCATCATCGATAGCAACGTCATGCGGAACGCACATTACAAAGTATCACGCACGTATTTTTGCAGCTCTCCTTATCTGAAACAGTTTCTTCTCTAACGTTAAAAATAAGAAGGCTGTTTTAGATGATAAAATTAGGTGAACCATCCCGCGCGCGCGAGTTCGACGCGCAAGGTCGTCGCGACTCTTCGGGATGACGGGAAATTGTGTGTCCGGAGGTTTTCTCTCGGCGGGACCTCTTTTCGCCCGATCCTGCGACGCGTTCCTTGGGGAATCTCGCCGTGTAATACAATGTGTGCCTGTGTGCAGCCGTCGCGGCCGACTTGTGATTCCATCGTACGCAACTCATACATATAGAACCCGGTCTTCTCTTCTTACACGCTAATTATATGTAAAACATTATAAGGCTCTATTTGTTTCCTCTGGCCATGGTAACAATCTCTCTCACTCTCGCTCTCCCCAACAGAGACCATATCAACATTTCGAAAGCTCATCGTTCTCTAAATGCTCCTTCCTCCGACTGTCCTCTTCCTTGCCACGCTCGGAATACGACACCGAATATTTCAGGGGGTGCCACCCTCTCCTCCTCCTCATCTTCCTCTACATTGATAGTCTAAAAATTCCGTGTCTCGTTTCATCATCTTCAAATGGAACATTCGATTGAGCGTATTAAATTAAGAACACTAATTGTAATATATATATATATTTTTTTTTTCTTCGTGAATATACAGATATATTCACGACTACCCCTCTCTCCCTCATACTTTCTCTCTTCCTCTCTCTCTCTCTCTCTCTCTCCGTTTTCTCCCTCTCTCTTGCCACTTTGCATAATTGTTAATTTCTCATCAAGCGCAACGACCGCGCCAGCTCGATGCAAGCAGTAACACGGAAACGCAGGAAAATCGTGTGGATGACGCGAATGTCGGTCAGCGAATTTAGTCGCGAATGATCATTCTGCCCCTTTCTCCCTCTCGTCTCGTCTAATCGGATTGGAATCGGATTATATTTTCTCTCCCCTTTTGTCTGCTCTTTTTTTTCTTCACCCACCCATCTACAAACTCCGCTAAAACGCTGAATGGCACACGCATCACATTATTGCAATTCGACGCGTCAGCACAATGCCTTGTTACTTCGGCGATCACCGAGCGAATAAACTACGTACAATACATACATACGTACCATACACACACACACACACGCGCGCGCGCGCGCGCGCGCAACGTCCATACATCATACACACACACGCACACACGCGTATATGTATGCACATGTACGTGTATGTATGTACCGTATCCTTCCATGTCTCTGAGTTAACAAATCGTAAAGAGAAAGCATTTAATAGAGTGCTCATAATTTTATGTACATTGACTTTTTTTCTCCGGCGAAAATAATGTTATGAAAACATAACTTCTGAAAGTATAAGGAAAAAATATTCTTATTTTTGCCATCCTCCTCTCTCTCTCTCGCTCTCTCTCCTCGCTCGAGAGTTGAGCCCTCTTCTCTCTTTTCTGCGCAACTCATGTACACACGCTCACACAAGGTGTTGCTCGCTTCTTGCGAAGGCGAGACGCGCCGCTAACCGATGCCCAATCTCAGTTACTATGTGCAGTCTAAAGCAGTTATGCAGTTAAAAGTAAGATGAAGTTTGCGGTGTGTTCGACGATAGGCAAAAATAATGCAATGTAACATAATGTCCTACGTAACAGGATGCTAAGTATATTAATTCAATGATCGTCCATATCATGGATACGTTGACGTTTCGGTTGCTGCTGCTGCTGCTGCTCGGGCGGCTCGGGACTCTCAACGATCGCAAGCGGAGCCGGTGAATCCGGCGAACTGTCGGACTCCTCGTGCGCGCGCTTGTTGACCCCAACGCCAGCGTCAGGGCCGATAAAAGTTCCACTATTACTAGGGAAAGAATCACGTGAGCACATGTGAACACAAGACAAGTACATGGACAGGCTGTTTCTCAGGCATGTCTCTCGGTGATGTCTCAGAAGTTGATTCTTCAACGTTTTACGAGAAAGGCTCATTTGTCTCATTTCAGAGATGCGACGCGTTAAGCGTCTTATAAAATTGTCGTTGTTTCTCACCAATAGCTCCTGTTAATTGTATCTTCACCTTTGAACTTTAAAAGGGGAATCGTCGCATGCACAGCAGGCCGTTTCCAAGGCTGCTTTTACAAATTTTTTTCAACAGAAACGCTAGGATCAACGGACGTGAAATTTTTGCAGTGTGTTCATTAATGTTCAAAGCGTAAAATAAATTTGTTACTATCTATATGGAAAGTATACACGCAAAACTTGAAACGCGTTTATCTGGAAATATCATTTTCTTAAACTGTCGGCACGATTACACAAAAACTGCTGAACCGAATAACTTGAAATTTGTACACAATATACAATAGACGTGTAGTTTTCGCGCCCCTACCTCGAATACAGTTATATTTTATTTTATTCATTTTTTTTAAACATGATTATAAGTTGGAAAAAGTTTCATTTTCAATACTTTCTTTATACAGTCATTATTTTTTCAAATTTGGCTTCGCTGCCTTCATTTTGCTACGAACTATAATGGCAACCGTAAATTTTAAAAATCTTTCTCACTTTTTGGTTTCAGAGTAGTGAGAGACCCGAAATTATGTCGAGAGCAAACATAGAGCTCGCAAACGGACGATTACATTTTTATCTATAATTACAAATTGGATCGGTTCTTGTGATTCAATGAAATTTATTTTATACTTTGAACACTGATGAACACACTGTGAAAATTTCAAATCTATTGGTCTTACCGTTTCTGTTAAAAAAAATTCGTAAAAAATAGCCTTGAAAACGGTCTTCCGCATGTAATTCCTCCCTTAATTTATCTTCATCTTTGACCTGCAGTTTCAAAAAGTCTCGACGCGAGAAACGCTACCTCAACCAAAGTACTTTTAGCAGATTTCTACAAAGTCGTTGGTTTACGCCGTGAACTTTTTGCAAGGCGGAAACTATAGGTCAAAGGTGAAGACCACGTTCTGCTGCTGTATTTGCTGAGTTTGAGAAGCGAGTTCTTTTCACCTAGGAGCTATCAAAAGAAAACAAACGACAGTTTTACAAAATTCTCAACACTCTGCTCAAACAAGGTCTCTGAGACCGCGCGTTGGTACAAATTCCTCTTGGTAAAATTGCTTGAAGAATCAACTTCTGATGACCGTTTCTTCGGACAGCACCTGGAAAACAGCCTGTATAGAAGACGACTAGACTCGCGCAAGGCGGCAGTCTAGAGTCTGTACGAACACAAATTATACCTGTAATTATATGTCGTTTGTACAATAACAGGAGCCGGACTGTATTGACCAGCCGGTGACAAAGAATGGTCCTCCACAGCATTTCCTGGCACCAAGTATTTCTCTGTTTCGAGAGACGAAGCGCCTTAGTAAAAAAATACTTCTTGTGTGCGATTTGACATTTGACAAGCGACGTGTGACGGTACAAGTCTGTGCTATGACATGTTTTCCCTGTTAGCGTCAGCGCTTAACACGTCAACTACCAAGTGCAAGTCAGCTCGAGTCATCAGCAGCGGAGCTGCGTGAGAGTGCACGACATTTTTGCGCCAATGACGAACGTGTTATAACAAAGGTACCAAGCAGAAAAAAATCTCGCGGTCTGTTGTTGTCTCATGTCGCTTTTTTATTCTATCCTTTATTTTACGCTTATGAAGTCTTCGTGGTTGCGATCCTCACCTTCTCTTCCGGCGTCGCTGTTGACACCGTTTGTCACAACGGTAACCTGCTGCATCAGGCGTCCTTTGTGAGTCGTCTGCGACGTCGACGTGTAAGGATGGCCCGGTGAGCCAGGTGCCGACTGACTCGTCGTCAACTGCCCCGCCGGTGACGGCACGGAACTGTCCGGATAGGACTCCGGGCCGGGTGATGCTTCTCTACTCAGCGACTCGGGAGTCATCAAGCCGCTGATGCCGACGTGGGACGGCGAGGCTGGTGCACTTCTGCGGATCACAGACGACGTCAAGAGTTAGCCGGCTTAGCGAAGCTACATCGCTGTGCATCGACAGCAGCAAGCCTGGCAGATGCACAGCGGTGCAAATGAGCGAGAAGATGGTCGCTGAAGCGAGTTACCTGGATGACAACCCAAAGGGAGCACGGAAGCAGGGAACGCCGCGCTGCCGCCTTCTTCTGAAGGCCTGCTCGATCAGCTTGGCCTCCGACTGAGGGTCTATCCTCCAGAAGGAGCCCTTACCAGGCTCCTCCTGACTCCTCGGTACCTTGATGAAGTAACGGTTCAGCGAGAGGTTGTGCCGGATGGAGTTCTGCCAGCCCTTGTCGGCGGTCCTGTAGTACGGGTAGTTCTTGGTGATGTAGGAGTAGATGCCCGACAAGGTGAGCTGCTTGTCGGGCGCGGAAGCGATCGCCTGGACGATCAGCTGTGCATATGAATATGGCGGCTTCGAGTCGTCCTTGGGCGGGCTGTAGTGCGGCGCAGTGCCGTTCGGCCCTGAGCCGTTCCCGCCGCGGAAGCGCGTCTCCGGCTCCGGGCTCAATTGCCTGCTGGAGCTCTGGCCGCCGTCGTGCCTCTCCAGGCTGGAGTTCTGCGGATCGTACGCCACCGCAGCGGCGACCATCTGCAGATCGGCCGAGATGTTCCTCCGTCCTTGGCCGGCGCGCGGGCTGGCCGGGCAAGAGTTGGCGGCGCTGATCGTGCCCGTCGGTGACGGGAACGGACTGCTGTAGCCGGTGTCCGGTATGTTGATGCGCAACGGCGGCAGCGGCACGCGCTGCTTCGGCGGGGAAGGTACGCGCACGTTGCTCTGCTCCTGCTCGTCCAGCAGCGACTGGAACACCAGTCTGATGGTCGTGCTGGGGAACCGGAACGTACACCTGCAACACGAAGGAGATCGCCGGTTAGTCTCGGTCAGGACGCACCCTGGGGCAACCTCGATGGTACTCACACTCGTTACACCTACACCGCCTGAAACCTTTCTCAAGACCGCAACGATTATCGACACGGGTTTGTCTCGAATCTCTTAGCGGTTTTAAGGCTCACGTCTTTACCTGACGCTCGCGCTCAAAACAATGCGCTCGTGGTAGCTACTTCCAGTAGCTCACTAGGCCAGCTTCGTCGCTTGAGCGCGAATCGCGACTGGGCCACGCAACTTATTGCTCAAACGAGACCCAGCCAGACCCCGCGTCAATGGCTCGCGGCGAAGAACATTGAACAATGTTAGACCGCGAGAGACAAAGGCACGAGGAGAAAATCTAGCCGGTCTGTGCGTGTGCAAGACACGCCGCGTGCAACAACTCACGTCTTTGGCAGTTGAAAGGGCGACGCGCCCTTACGCTGGAACACGCCGTCGATGAACACGCCGTTCTTGCCGTTGCACACCATGTAGAAGGACGGGTGCTCGTAATAAATCTCGAGGTGCCGCCGCGAGATAAAACTGGAGTGGCCCATGTTGACGTCGACCTCACCCTTGCTGCTGTTGCGGCCGATCGTGATGCGCCGTTGCCTAACCATGTACTCGAACTCGCGGCCCTCGAGCCGCGCGATCGGGGCCCCCTTCGACTCCGGATTCCACTGCATCTTCGTCGGACTGGCCGGTGCCGACTTCAACGCCAGAAGAGCCCACGCGTCGCTCTCCTGGGTACGAGAGTACGTAGACATAGCACCGAGAGCGAATGAGCCGTAGTGTGGTTGAGAGCAGCGCGGGGGGCGAGGGGAGTACAGAATCGGACAGGGACAGAGTGAATGTGTGTGTGTGTGTGTGTGTGTGTGTGTGTGTGAGTGAGAGCGAGCGAGCGAGCGAGAGCAAGAGAGAGAAAGAGTGACAGAGTGAGGCTATACAAGGGGCGGGGGGAAAGACAGAGAGAGAGAGAGAGAGAAAGAGAGAGTGTGTGCGAGAGACGAGGCGAGACAGAGGCGGATAGATAGCCGCTAAATGAGGAGATAAATAACACGAACGTTCAGCCAGATACACTAGACGAGTAGGCACACGAAGGGCGGAGAATGTAAGCGGAAGACCGGTAAAGATCGGGGGAATGCGGACAGAGCACGGCACGCGGACAAACGGCGGTCAAAATCGAAACGGCACGAGTATATCAAAATTCAGGCGAGACGGAGACAGATGATGATGATGATAAGAGAAAGAGAGAGAGGGGGGAAGGGAGGGGGAGCGGTACAGGAGCGAGCAAGCGAGCGCGAGAGAGAGAGAGAGAGAAAGAGCGAGAACGAGCGAGCGAGCGAGAAAGACAGAAACAGAGAAAGAGTGAGAGAGAGACGTGCGCGAGGAGGAAAAGAAATCAAGAGGGAAAGAAATTCGTCGGAACGCTGAGAAAAAAGATGCTCCGTACAGCAAGGCGAGGCAACACGAGGCAACACGTACGCGCAAGGAGCGTATGAACACGCGAGAGTTGCGTATACTCGCGCGGAATATGGCCGGCTTTTTCTCGAACTCTCTCCGCACCGCCCCGGCGCGCGCGTGTCTCTTCTCTCCTCGTCGTCGTCACTGCCACCGCACGTCCGTGTGTGTGTGTGTGTGTGTGTGTGTTATGTACGTGTATGTTCTCTCGTCGCAATATATAACGCGGCCTCTCCGCGGGCTCTCTTCGCGTTACGTTATGCACACATATATACGTCGCGCGGCTCTCTCTATCACCGTGCGCGCGTTATCTCTCTCCTTGTAAGTTAAAGCAGTATTAAGCCACCTTCTGCGAGTCTGTTCCTGCTTCTCTCGGGGACGAGGATCTAGTAATCGTTCTCTCCTGCCTTCCTCCTCGTGTCCGTTTTACGACCGTCGCGGGTAATCGGCGCCGACACAACAATAACTACGACGAGATGACGACAATAATAATAATAATAATGATGATGACGATGACGATAACAACGACGACGATGACGACGACGACGACGACGACGACGACGACGTTGACAACGAGGTAAACACACGACAGACGACGGACGTACCTTCGACTGCGATTCACGCGCACAAATATTTTCTTCTCTCCTTGTTTACCCACAACGCGAAACGTGGGTGGCCACCACGTGATACGGCGATGCGATTTAGCGCCGCGTTCGAAATGTCCGCCAGCTCGTCCAGCACGGCTCGCAGAAGCCAGCCGATTCTTTCTTTCCTTCCTTCCTTCCTTCCTTCCTTCGCGTCCTGTGCCCGATAGTTCTTAAAAGTGAAAAGTTCCATATTTCGAAGAATACGATGCGTGACAACGCAAAGATACGACTCGGAGGCTCGCTGTTGTCAATCACATGAATTGCATGTTTTCTGTCGTCCCATTCTTTATGTTCTTTTTTCGAGGCTGCACGTTTTCTTCTCATCTTTCATCTTGCATTTTACTTTCGAATTTTCTTTCTGGATCGATTCGAAATGCCCAATCTGTCCGTTCCAGTTGGATATATTCGTGCTTCATAATCGTTAATTTTTAGAGAGAACGTATATAACCTAAACTACGAAAAGAGTAACCTGAAACGAAGAAAAAGTGAACGTTCTTTCAACGTTTTGAAACATTCGCCAGCTATGTGAAAGGAGAATCGCGACATTAGGCCTGTTCGTTTTGTCTGCACTACTGAATTGGTGCAACAAGTTGAAGTGAGAAAACCTACGTTTGTCTCACTTTAACTTAATGCACCAGTTCAGCAGTGCAGACAAAACGAACAGGCCTATTATTTTCAACGACAATTGTCTAAAGCCCTAAACACAATGCCAGGCAACAGGCAATAAGAATAAAAATAGACCAATCACAATCGACTATTACAAGAATAATCTATTGTGATTGGTCTATTTTTATTCTTATTGCCTGTTGCCTGGCATTGTGCAAGGGGCTTTACTGCTTGCGGCCATTGTAGACCACGCCAATGAGAGTTCGGCAGCAACACGTAAACGTGTGCGATAGGAGATGCGCATCAACGCTGATTTGCTTATTGTAATACTATAAAGCCAGTGGCACACGGTGCTTATTTTCGTGCTGGATTGCTTACTGGATGAAAATACTGTGTTCTGATTAGTACATTTCCGAAGATGGATGGAAATGCACCAATCAGAACGCAGTATTTTCATCCAGCAAGCAATCCAGCACGAAAACAAGCATCGTGTGTTGCTGGCTTTAATATACACAGTGGCCATTTTCCAGCAAGAAATCCTGTGTTACACAAAAACATTTTATTGGCTATACATTATCTAGAAAGATATTGTAGATAATATGTAGCCAATAAAACACTAGTGTATAACACAGTATTCCTTAACTGTCGGCATCTTTGATGTTAGGGCCCTCACACATGAAATGACATAGATACATATGCATAAGAACTTATGGACCAATGAACATAGAACATTAAGTTGCCATATTGATTTACATAATAGCATTTAGATACTATCTGAATACTCATTGGTCCATAAGCTCTTGTGTTATGCATATGCATTTATGTCATTCCATGTGTGAGGGCTCTTAAGCGGGAAGCACACACTCTTACATAAAGGCATAATGTACAACGCATAAGGAAATGGACCAATCAGAGTCTTTTATTTCAAGCGTGACAATAGAAATGAGGATTTTGATTGGTTAATTTCCTTATGCGTTGTGCATTATGCCTTTATGTAAGAGTGTGTGCTTCCCACTTAAAGCGAAAAGCACACATTTTTGCATAAAAGCATAATACACAACACATAAGAAAATGAACCAATCAGAATCTTTAATTTACAACATGGCAATAGAAATAAAGATTCTAATTGGTTGATTTCTTTACACATTGTATATTATGCCTTTATGCAAGAGTGTGTGCCAATGATGTCAGATGCAATATATTGCGATGCTACAGCGCATGCGTGAGATGACGTAGAGCTCGCTGCTTGAGTAAAAGCCCCAGTATCGTATCTTTTTTAAAGTATTATAACGCCCGTATTATACCCGTATGTATTGAGAATTGCAATCGAGTAAATTAGATAATCTAAATCGTGGTTATTTTATTTGGATAGTAATTCTCAATCTATAGTCTAATATGAGTCTAATATAAATATTATGTAACAGTTACATAGTTGAGTGAAAAATTATAATGTTAATGTAACTGATATTTAGTATCCACTGAACAATATAATCTAAGATAAGGCACTCGCGCAAGAAACACGGGAAAACTACACTGGAGCCTGGAAGATAGCTGATCGGACAGCGCGGGCCCCTTCATGGACCCTGCAATGCGCTTTATTGCCGTCATTGGCATAGAGCTCTATGTCATCTCACGCATGCGCTGTAGCGTCGCAATATATTGCATCTCAATTCAGTTCAGTTCAGTTCAATATTGGCTCTGGGGGAATAAGGTTTCCCCATACGCCATTCCTTATGTATATTGCATCTGACACCACTGGTGTGTGCTTCCCGCTTTAGCTTAGCTAAAAATGAACTGCACATCATAGACATAGGAATATAGAGACAGAACATAGAGTTGCAGGGGGATAACCATTGCGGGACGGTGCGACGAGGTAAACTGTGCCTAAATCTAATTGGTGGTTGTGCCGTGTGTAAGTATTTGATACATACATAGATGTGTATGAAGTTGTGTGTGAGTGAAATTAGGAAAAAAAAGACACATGCATAACTTCTGCAAAATACTATCAGTATAAATGGTTCTTATCATTTTGTTACATTTACTATTTTCCAGTGACAGTCAAGTTGTTGCATCACACACTCTGAATATGTGCACTACTGTAGCCAATGAAGCTTAGGCACAGTCGCCCCCCGCATTTCAGCACAACTCCCCTCGCCTATCTTACGGGCTTATGCTCTGTCCTTATATTCCTATGTCTATGCTGCACATACGCAACCAACATCACCTAACCAATAACAGGCAAGATCCACTTGAGACTACAAATGCTTTGAACGCTAAAAGGAAGGCTATTATAAGGCGTTCAAAGCATTTGCAACATTTAATGAATCGTATTCTATATGATTTAATAAAAATTTAAATAAGTGTATTAAATAAATATATATATATTAATAAATATATATAGAGAGAGGAAAAGTGAGAAAGAGAGAGCAGGAATTGTAACAGAAAGCTGGTCTGTTCTTTTCAACTGCACTGCTGAACTAAAATAATAAGTTAGAGTGAGACATATAGTATATTTTTCCTATGAAAAAGTGAGATAGGTTAGGACAAGGCTGCGCATGCGCAGTTAATTTCTCGCTACGCGAAATTTAGAGCGACGCTACTGTATATACTGTGGTTTCAGACAGTTCATTTCATTTTAGAAGTGGTTTCAGACAGTACATTTCAAGAGTAAAGCAAACAAGTTGGTGTTTTTCAAAAATGGCTCTCCGTCAACTTGAATGTGTCCCATTGATACAACACTTTGTTGAAAAAGAAGGTTTAGGGCCAACAGAAATATATGATAAGCTGTGTTCTCTTTTTGGAGAGTTTTCAGCATCGTATATAGCAGTGAGGACACGGACTCATGAATTTCAATGTCGCCGTACATTCACTGTTGACCATATGCCTATAGAAATTTTCAAAATCTGCAATGCCGTGTCATGTAATCGACGAATGAAAGTGCATGAGCTTGCTACCATTACGAACGTTTCAATAGATCATGTTTACAAGATCTTACGTAATTATTTGGATATGAAAAAGTTTTCAATGTGATGGATGCCGCGTTCTCTAAAGGACCATTAAAAACGCCTTCGAGTGAACATTTCTCAGGAGTGTTTGGATATATTTAAACGCAGTGCAACCGAGTTTGTGCGATGATTCATCACTGTCGATGAAATATGGATTTATTACTACACGTCAGAGATAAGACAACAGGGGATGAAAGCGGATGAAAATCCTCCAAAAAAGGCGAAAATAGTTTCATCATCCGAAAAGGTAATGGCGACTGTTGCTCTTCCATTACAGCGATACATATGTTCATATTACCTCAGCTGCAATTACAGAGCTCCATGAGTTGCATTTTGAAGTGCTGCCACACATACCTGATTCACCAGATTTATATCCCAGTGACTTCTTCCTGTTCCCAGACATGAAGAAATGGCTAACTGGAAAGAGATTCACTTCACATACGGAGGTTATTGTTGAGATGAATAATTATTTTGAAGGATTAGAGAATTCATACTGAAGGTATAAAAAAGTTGGAATATCGTTGATCCAAGTATATTGAGTTGGAAGGAGATTATGTTTAAAGATAAAATAAAATGTCAATAACCATGTGTTTTTTTTATCAGGTCATAAATGTTGTATATAATTATAAATTTATAATTCATGTGTATTGTAAATGTTTATACAATATCATGTATATTTGTTCAAGAAACCTGAATTGATTATATTATCGATGTAGCGAGGAAACAAGTTTTGTACCGTAAGTTTAATTAGTCTTGGTCTACAATAGATGATTTAAGCTTTAAGCAATAAAAAATTAATCACAGTTGATTATTCTTGGATGGTAAGAATTATCAATTTTGATTAGTCAGTTTTTTCATTGTTTGAACTGGATAGGGTGTCCAGGCTCTTATGAGCGACCCTACTTGAAAAACTTGAGCAGCATGACGCAAGCAGTAAGGAAATTGAGTAATCAAAATCCATTAAGGCCTATCTATAATGGCTGCAAGAATAAGGTTGTAAGCGTAAGCAGTAAAAAATAGACCAACCACAATCAATTATTATAAGAATAATCGATTATAATTGGTACATTTCTTACTGCTTACACTTAGAACCTTATTCTTGCAGCTATTATAGATGGGCCTTAATTGGTTGTAATAGACCAATCACAATAGATTATTCTTGTAATAGTCGATTGTGATTGGTCTATTTTTATTCTTATTGCCTGTTGCCTGGCATTGTGTTTAGGGCTTAAGGCTGTAAGGTTGCAATACATGAAATGAAATATTTTCATTCGCTGAAGGCTCGTCTACATTAGCTGTAAGAGTAAAGCTAAAGCTAAGACTCCATGCATGCGGTGAGCTGCGGCAAATGCTGCGGTGACCAATCAGGAGGGAGGCGCAAGTCCGGTTGCGGCAAGCTCCGGCATGCGTCTGTCTCCTAATTGGTCACCGCAGCCGTTTGCTGGAGCTCACCGCATGCATGGAGTCTTAGCTTAAGGCTGTAAGGTTGCAAGGCACGAAATGAAATATTTTCATTCGCTGACAGCTTACGTTACAGCCTTATGCTGGATTCACACTGCATCCGACGTGCGTCGTCCGTTATCCGACGGTACGAAACCGTGCGAAATGCTGTTCATACTGCATACGTTAACTAATACGATTTAAAGTCTGTAGGTGGCGTAAATGGTTAATGGTGACTACAGTTCCTCTAATAGTAATATGCGCATAACCTAAAAAGTTAGAATTGATATTTATTTATTCCATAGACATATATAATAGACTGAGCATAGCGGGTTTGGCAGAACGGTGAGAGAGGCAAGATATCGGGGAAGTTTTCTTTCCTTGTCTGCGCAGGTCGAATGCGCAATCGTCTAGTGACAGCCAATGGCACAGACTCATGACAGCAAGAAATACGCATAAGCGTAGTTATGTACGGGCAACAAGATATGTGTAATATATATATGTGTAAGATATGTGTAATATTTTTCTTCACTATTGTTAACTCTACTTTAGGTCGTCTACTTTCCAACCATAAGAAATGTCTTGTATGAAAAAAGTCTGACATGAAAAAATGTCTTGTATGCTAAAATGTCTTGTGTGCTAAAATGTCTCAAACTAAGTAACAAAATTCTATTCTGTCTATCGACAACTCTAATGACATAAACTTTATAATATATTAAGATGAGTAAGGTATACCATCTTTTCCCAATTTTGTCTAGATTGCTCTTCATACCATGCATTATCGTACGACAAATGTTGAATCACGACCAACATTTCGTTCGACATCGGACAATGACGGACGGCCAAGCGATCCGATGATACGAAGTAAAATCCTGCTTTTTGATTGGTTGCGGAGCATCGTATGACATACGTCGGATGCAGTGTGAATCCAGCATTACTCTTACAGCTAATGTAGACGAGCCTTTATTCTTTTTAGCTGCACTGTTGAACAAGTGCAGTAGGTTAGAATGGGAAAAAATATAATTGTCTCACTTTAACCTATCGCAGCAGTTGAGCAGCTAAAAAGAACAGACCATCCGTGCGACATTCGCTCGACGGCGCAAATACGAACGCGCCCAACCTTCGAGTATTCGACTGCAGCACATACGTACGAACGTGAGCCACCATGCACGGGGGTAGCTAGAGCAGCAACAACATCGGAGCTGATATAACGTAGCGACACGGTGACGGTGAAAGCGCAGAGTGTCGCGGTTTTGTTTTGTTATGATTCACGTTCACACAGCTGGCGACGAGGGCACGTTGCGCTCGGCCGCGTAGAGCTGTTTGTGCGAAAGCGACAGGCGGCTGATCTCTCGGTCGACGAGCGTGATCCATGAGAGAGCGACTATCCTGTACGTGGTGCGATGCGATAGCTGGCGGAGGAACGTGCCGCTGCTCGTTGTCGCCGAGGTGGTGGTGGTGGTGGGGGTCCTTCCGCGGATCGTGAACACGGGGGAGAGCGAAGTGACAAGGCGAGCGTCGCTTCGCGGGTCGTCTGCAGTATGCTCAGGGTTTGCCACAGGCGGATATTATGGCTGCAGGTGAGGCCAGCACGACGAAGCCTCGACAAGAGAAGCAGTACGACTACCTGCTCAAATTCCTGCTGGTGGGCGACAGCGACGTCGGCAAGCAGGAGATCCTGAGCGGCCTCGAGGACGGCGCCGCGGAGTCGCCGTTCTGCAGTGGCAGTGGTGAGGCTTTGAATCTTAATCTGTCAGCTGATGTCTCTCGCCAAGTTTATGACACAGAGATACCTCATTGTATAGAGAAACTGTGCAATTTACTGTACCATGGCTACAGGTTACCTGCGGTAACTCCTCCTTACAGTTTGTTTGGTTCTTCAGAACCTGCGGCTGAGCTTGTTTACTTCCTTTGTAGCTTACAAAACTACTACTATTTTACTGGATGGCAAGCGAGTGAAGTTACAGTTATGGGACACATCAGGCCAAGGTAGATTCTGCACAATTATCCGATCCTACTCTAGGGGTGCGCAAGGTATTCTCCTCGTATATGATATCACCAGTAAATGGTCCTTCGATGGTATCGACAGATGGCTCAAAGAGGTAGAAGAGGTATGTCAATTAACCGAAGTATCATATACAACACGAACATGTACCATTCGACTGTGACATTTGGTATAATTAGCTGGGACACTTTTGCAGCATGCGCCTGGTGTGCCAAAAGTACTGGTCGGCAATCGACTGCACTTAGCCTTCAGGAGGCAAGTGGGGCAACGAGACGCGGAAGCTTACGCCGTTAAGAATCACATGTCGTTCTTTGAGGTGTCGCCCCTCTGCGACTTCAACATTCGCGAGAGCTTCTCGGAGCTGTCGCGCATGGCACTACAGAGGAACGGCATGGAAAGGTTACTGCGACCCAACAAAGGTAGGGCCGCTGGAGCTCGCTCGAGTCGCTCCAATTCAAGAAGCACGACCGCTGAACGCAACTGATCTCTCGCTTACAGTGCTCAGCCTTCAAGAGCTGGCGTGCCGCGCGATAGTAGCCCGCACAACAGTCTACGGTATCGACCAGCTGCCATTGCCCACGTCCATCAAATCGCATCTCAAGTCGTACGCAATAACAACCACGTCTCAACTGCGCTACAATGGCAATCGTTCATTGAGCTCCAGCAAGAGTCTAGGATCGCACCACCGAAAGCTGCGATTCGTCGTAGGCCATCACAATAACGGGCTGTCGACGCCAGGCAGTTCACCCGGCAGCATCACGGACTCGCGTACCAGTTGCGTCGGCCGCAACTCCTGCACGGTGTCGTGAGAGTGAGACAACGAATAAAGAGAAATCAGGGTAGCGGTTACTTACAAAAGCTGAGCGACACGCAGCGGTGTAATCAACGTTCTTCCTCTCCCCCTCTGTTTTGTCGAGAATACAAAAAGCCGTTTACGATGTTGTTTCATAATTGATAGTGTGAGTACTGTTAGACTATATCATGAGATAATATATATTATATACATACATATATATATATATATGTATATACACACACATGCGAAGATTCCGATTTGCCACTTGCCAGCGCGTTGACGGATAAGATCGGACAACTTGTTGCGTTTACTACGGAGTACGTCTCTATATTTTGACATTCGCGAACCTTGCGCACTCTTACGATGATAATTAACGAGCTTAAGCGACAAGGAAACAAACTGTCGTAACCCGTGCCATCCGTCGTGCGAGATAGAGAAAGAAGAGAAAGAAACGTAGCGTTACGATGCACGCATCGAGCAGAAAAATACTTCATAATTATCAAGTGCGTCACGTCACATGTTACCGTCGATCGCAAAGCTCGCGCTGATCTCGCCCACCTGCGGCGGACAAGACGCGTGGGGTTTGCGGAGTGATGCGTAACGCACGTGCGCACTCATGCATATACATACGATATATATACAGGGTGTCCCGTTTTAAATGAGCCAGGCAGAAATCTCGAAAAGTATGAAAGATAGTGAGAAACATTTCAGACAAAAGTTGTGTGGTTTCAAAAGGAACACAAAACAACTGTATCATTTTGTTTACAGATGGCGCCGTTTTCGAGATATTCACTCATCACTACCCTTCTCAAATGGGAATCCCAATTTTTTATTATATCATCTTTTTTATTCATTAATTTGAACAACTTTTGTTTGAAACATTTTTTTTATTTACCTAATATTCTTTTAATTATTTAACTTGATAACTTTTTTAATATTTGGCATACGATATCTCGATAATTATTTGTTGGAAGAAAAAGTGATACAAGACTTTTCTACTCTATTTAGTTTCGAGAATGCATTATATGTTACAATAGTACCCTAATTTTTGTTAATCTTATCGACCTTTGAAAATTTCAAAATCATCAAATTAACAAAAGTCAAGGCGCTATTGTAACAATATATTCTTGAGACCAAATAGAGTAAAAAAGTCTAGTCTACTACTTTTTCTAAAATAGAATAAAATGAGACCAAATAGAGTAAAAAAGTCTAGTCTACTACTTTTTCTTCCACTTTCTAATATCTTTTGAGATATTCAAAGAATATTATTGAAATAGTATTGGATATTTACTCCATTTAATCAAGAATTACAATAGCACCTTGATTTCTATTAATTTGATAGTTCTGAAATTTCTAAAGGTCGGTAAGTTAACAAAAATTAGGACACTGTTGTGACAATATATTCTCGAGATTAAATGCAGTAAAAAAAGTCTAATATTTTTTCTTTCAAGAAATAGTTGACGAGATATCGTGAGTTAAATATCGTGAGTTAAATGTTGAAAAGGTTACCAAGTTTTCCTTAAATATAAAAAAATATTAGACGAATAAAAAGACGTTTCAGACAAAAGTTGTCCAAATTAATTGGTAGAAAAAGATGACACGACAAAAAATTGGGGTTTCCGTTTAAGAAAAGTGATGACCAGTGAATATCTCGGAAGTGGCGCCATCTGTAAACAAAATGATACAGTCGCTTTATGTCCCTCTTGAAACTATACAACTTTTGTCTGAAACATTTTTTTTTAAATGCTTCAGTTTTCGGGATTTTTGCCTGGCTTATTTAAAATGGGACGCCTTGTATATATGTATATATATATATATACATATATATATAAGTATCACCGATATATATGTTTACGCAACTCTGCCGAGTATGCTCATGCGGTGAAACTCTCATAAAAGAGAGTCGCTTTGTTTTATCTTTCTTTTTTGGCGGTTGTTTAAAAAAGCGTCCCATTCTCTCACAAACGTATCTCTGTGCGGAATGTCCATTCAAGCATGTGTAAACGTATGTATGTGCGCGCGCGCGCGCGTGTGTGTGTGTGTGTGTGTAACTGGCGGGCGAGTAATGAACTGAAAAGTACAAGTTCACTAAGTCTACGGTGGTTGTGGTGTAGACTAATGATAGCGTAAGAAGTATAGAAAGTTTAGAGCAGCTAACTCGATTAATGTATTAGCGGTACATACGTATACATGCGTACGTGCCTATGCATATACGTGTATTTATACAGAGCGAGTGCGAAATGTAGATATACATACATATATACATATATATGTGCGCGCGCGCGCGCGTGTGTGTATATACATGTATGTATATGTACATCTCTTCTCCACGAAACCTCTATCACACAAACTACGAGCGATGATGATGGGCGGACCGCGGAAGAGCTATATATTTTTTAAGGAGACAGTTTTATAAAGAGCAATAAATTGACTCTTTCCACGACACAAGTTTCTACATTGAATCGCACCGATTAGACTTATCGATGGGGCGTTGAACGGTTCTCTCCCGTATCTCTTCGTTTCATACCTTACGAGATGTGTAGTCGTCTGCGTCCTGCGATCCTGTGTTCGACAAGATCTAGGAACTTTCCACGGATGTACATTGTTTCAGAGTATTACTGTCTTATTTAATGCACCTGTAGAGACCTGTAAGAGTAAGTTAACTTGTACAGTGTAAAATTGCGGGAGATATGTTTGTGTATTTTTTATATATATATATATATATATATATATATATATATATATATATAGTGTATACATATATATATACAGGGTGTCCCATTTTAATCCGGCCAGCTGAATAAAATTCGAGGATGATATTTTCCAGAAAAAAATGTCAGACAAATGTTGCTCAGTTCTAAGGGGGACATTCGATGCCATCAACAATTTTGACCTCGGGTGAAGGGTTCAAGGTCATTCAAGGTCAACTTTTCTTCTTAAATGGCAACCCCTATTTTTCACATCGGCAATCGATTCTACGTAAAAAAAAAAAATGAAACTTTTGTCTGAAGCATTTTTTTTATAACGCAAACTAATTTCACTTATTCAACCTCCAAAATTGAAATTTTCAAACTTTCTGAATTTTTTACTCGAGAATGGTGGGGTTTGGGGGGAAATTGCAGAAGACAAAAAGTTCTTGGAATGCTGCAAGGAATTCACTCGAATTTTCGCATAGTTGATCGTGCACTTTTTTCCGCCAATGTTCTACCTGTCAGGAGGTACCTCGAGAAAAGTGCACGATCAACTATGCGAAAATTCGAGTGAATTCCTTGCAGCATTCCAAGAACTTTTTGTCTTCTGCAATTTCCCCCCAAACCCCACCATTCTCGAGTACAAAATTCAGAAAGTTTGAAAATTTCAATTTTGGAGGCTGAATAAGTGAAATTAGTTTGTGTTATAAAAAAAATGCTTCAAACAAAAGTTTCATTTTTTTTTTTTTTTACGTAGAATCGATTGCCGATGTGAAAAATAGGGGTTCCCATTTAAGAAGAAAAGTTGACCTTAAATGACCTTGAACCCTTCACCCGAGGTCAAAATTGTTGATGGCATCGAATGTCCCCCTTAGAACTGAGCAACATTTGTCTGACATTTTTTTCTGGAAAATATCCTCGAATTTTATTCAGCCGGCCGGATTAAAATGGGACACCCTGTATATAAACGAGCGAACACACCATACATACATACGTGAGATCTCTTCGAACGATGTAATCTGTAAAACAAATCACTCAACAATGCCAGGAAAGCACACGAGATGTATTTATATTACGTTAGACTTAACTAAATTATATTATGTGTATATATATACAAAAAAAGAACTATTATTATATATTGTTTTATATGAGAATATAACGATGTGCTTACTTCTCTGTGAGATGTACTAAATAAACTCAACTTGACACTACAATGTTCCAGAGTGCATGCTTCGGGTGATCAGTAAGAGAGGAGATCCAAGTAGATCTCCTCGCTCGAAACGGTGAGCTCTCCTTAAGGAGGGAATCACATGCGGAGCGGACCGTTTTTAAGGCTATTTTTACGAATTTTTTCAACAGAAACGGTGGGATTAATGGACTGGAAATTTTCATAGCGTATATTTATTAATGTTCAAAATATAAAATAAATTTGTTACTATCTGCAGGAAAAGTACACACACAAAACTTGAAACGCGTTTATCTGCAAACACCATTTTCTTAACCCGTCGACACGATTACGCAAAAACTACTGAACCGAGTAACTTGAAATTTTTACAATATATAGCAGACGTGTAGTTTTCGCGCCCCTACCTCGAACACAGTTATGTTTTATTTTATTAATTTTTTTAAACATGATTACAAATTGGAAAAGTTTCACTTCCGATACCTTTTTTTTGTACAGTCATTATTTTTCCAAACTTTTCCACTGCCTTCATTTTGCTACGGGCTATAGTGGCAACCGTATATCTTAGAAATCCTTCTCATTTTTTGGTTTCAGAGCAGTGAGGGGCCCGAATTACGTCGATAGCTAACATAGAGCTTGCAAATGGATGACTGCATTTTTATCTAAATCTTTTTTATCTAATTTATCTAATTACAAATTGGACCGGTTCTTGTGGTTCAATAAAATTTATTTCATATCTTGTACACATTAACGAATATACTGTAAAAATTTCAAGTCCATTGGTCTTACCGTTTCTGTTAGAAAAATTCGTAAAAATAACCTTGAAAACGGGCTTCCGCGTATAACTCCCCTCTTAACATTGCGAGCAATGTTAGCGATATTGTACATTTCGTTGCGACAATGAAAATTGCACTTACAAGGAACATCCGCGAAGTGCATGTCTCCGATTTTGATGAAATTTGTAGAGCAGCCAAAGATAAAAGACTTATATTTTTTTTTATCGGCAATGGCTCAGGTATGAGGGGTGAAACTGGCCCTCAAAGTTTCACCCCCTCTACGCTATCTCGATAACTTGCAGATAGGGGAAAACTTTTTAAATAAAAATTATACGTTTTTTTATGCCATACAATTTTTATTTGAAAAGTTTTTTCCTATCTGCAATAATTATCGAGATAGCATAAAGGGGATGAAATTTTGAGCGGCAGTTTCACCTCCCTTAAACCTGAGTCATCGTCGATAAAAAAGAACATGGGTCTCATATTTTCGGCCACTCTACAAATACGTCAAGTTTCGTCGAAATAGGAGACACACACTTCGCGGATGTTCCTTGTTAGAGGGGGAGGAGACGCATCGAGCGCGCCAAGGTGGGGAGGAAGAAATGAAGAAATGCCGTCCCGTTTGACACAAAGTGTTTCTAATTTAATAGTAAAATGTTAGCTTTATGTGTTAACAGCAAAGTCTCGTTTCGCGCCGAGGACGAAGATAGAGATTCCGCTCCACACGCTCTCTCTTTCGCTCTCGCTGTACACAATAAATATCTTCCTAATCTCAACTATTATGCTTAATTGAGTCAAACTCGGATTCCTCGTTAGATCGTCGGAATCTGCGATGGCGACGCGTTGCGATGTTACTTTCCTGTCGGTCTGAGCACTGTAATCGCTTCCGCTAATCGATACGTCCTAGGCTACGGTGATTCTAATCGTTACAAGCTTCAGAATTGTGTGATGTGATGGCGAACTGCGATCGTCGGCTCTGATTTGCGCTCGTTCGAGATCACCGCGTAGTTTAAAGCACATACGGTCGAGTCGCGAAGGTGAATCCTCTCGTTTCTGAAAAACGACGCGCGTTAACTCTGGCGAGGACTCAAATGTCGAAAGTCACCGCAGAAGAATCGTCCGAATCGTCTTTGTCACCGAGAAAGTCGCGCCGGAGTCGCGAGCTCCGGGATCAGATTTAGTGCTCGAAGCTCTAATCGTTCCTCTCGTAGTCTCGCAAAAAGAAGGATACATAGCGTTGTATTATATTGCAAATCATGTATTGATATGTAAAATTTTGCACGTTTATAGCCGATTATATTGTATCGCTAACCGACAACACAAGGAGAGATATATATATATATATATATATATATATATATATATATATATATATAAAAACTCTTAAAAGGAAACACGTGCGCAACAATGTACAGCTTACAAATAAAAAACATAATAACAGTGGATCGTTCTTTTTTTTCTTGTAATAAAGTCTCGACTTAACATAGTTAACAACGCGTCTGTATGTATATTTTAAAATATTTAATGTTATATTAAATATATATATATATTTTTTTTTTCGTTTTACGTATATATATCCTCTACGTTTTCCCAATTATCCAAAGAGCGAGCGACCGCCTGCAAACTTATTGCGAGTAAAAAGCATATTCACCGCGTTCTGCCTATTTGACCTTTTAAGTATTCGGATGTGTTTCAGCGCAAGTGTTTCGATACTTAACATCTAACGAACGTAAAGTCTCGGAAACGATGCGGAGGATGCGGTGTATCGTCGCCGGAGTATCGGTATCACCGGGTGTCGTCGAGAGAAGAGTCTTCTTTTTTTTTTGTGAACCTCACAAACGAAAGCTGCGGTATGCCGAACGCACAACTCTCCGTTAAGCTATATATATTAGTCACGTTATAATCCGTAAACTTATATACATCCGTATATATATATATAATATATATATATGCGTGTATATATATATATATATATATATACATTATATATATATATATATGCGTATATTATCGTAATGCTTATCACAACAATGCGCTATCTCCCTAAGAGAATTAATATTTAATTAACACTCAATCGAAACGTGAAGACAAGTTTTATAAACAGCCTCAACATATGTCTACTGCCTAGTCTTAAAATCAAATGTGTGTGTGTGTGTGTGTGCGTATACACGTATTATGCGCACACACATACACATATCGCACATGTATGTACGTATAAAATATTAGAGTCCGACAAAGATCGACTGCATAAAATAAATATATCTCCAACATAAAATATACAGGTCAAACCTCGATATCTCAAGATGCTCTCTCTCTTTCTCTCTTAATCTTTTTCTTAAATAACTTTCAAGATTATCTCTTCTTCTTCTTCTTCTTCTTCCTTCTTCTTCTTCTTCTTCTTCTTCTTCTTCTTCTTCTTCCTACGATATATGTCCAGCTCATTTGAATTACAACAATTACACACGGCCTTCCGTAATATAGCAGACAGATCTCATAGACGCTCGAGCACAAAATCAAGAGATTTGACGGGCATAATTCTCATACAATCGTGTGTGATTTCTAAAAATGTAGACTCTCATCAGGTTTTTTCTTCAATTTGCATCGTCACGCGCAATTCGGGCGTGTCGCTTTGAGAACGAAAGAAACAGACATGATTTCACAGTATCGAACACATGTCAATGTTGAATCATGCACAGACTGTAGACCAAAGACCTTTTACAATGCCAGCACGAGTACAACGAGTACAAATAATCTAAAAATGATAAGAGGCATCAAATAATTTATTTCGATAAAATCACTTTACAATCAATATGAGAAGATAACCTGAAGATCGATAATATCATCAAATAAGGAGTTCAATCATTCGCTATCCTTCACGAATCTCTCCGTTGACTAAGAAGGGAACAGCACAAAGGAAATGGTAAGATTTCTATGGTCAGTACCATATGGATTGTATAACGTCATTTGGTTCATCAAATTCCATCGTTTCATCGTAGACAGCCTCGTCACTGCAGTGTCACGATTAAACACAAACGCGAGCTTTTCACAAAAGGTCGTGATGAAATTTGTACGCCAAATTCTTACGAGATCTGCATGCTACAGGGGGAAAAGACTTGAATATCGAGATTTTCTCAGCGAGGGTATCGACTTCACCTGAACTCGTAAATTTGTATACTATGTTCCGGCACATGTTTCAGATTCAACGACTGATACCTGAAACAATAATATGATTATAATTATGGCACCGCTACACATGCAGTGACATGCTGCGTGTAATCTCACAGCAATAATATATCATTACACTATCGATTGATAGTCGAATTTAGCTTAACTGCGTCATTGCAAACATTGATCGTATACCTGTGACATATTTTAGTCTGGTGTAAATATCACTTGTCTGTGTTCAAAGGTGCAAGTATTTCCAACGATTACTAATCTGTCGAATCTCCCTAATTGAAAGCTACCAAGTCTCAAGGAGTGGATGAACAATTATAGAGGGATAAGAGGAGGAATGTGTAACTGGTTGTCGCTTTACCATTCAGAACTACGATGATAATAAAAGCCCTCTATTGAGGCGGCTGATTTTTGGAAGCAAATATAGTAGAATCCCGCGAAGGAGGCACCGTTGATATCTTTGATTGTGTGGTCAGGAACCAGAAAGTGTTCTTTCCACCTCATAAATACAAAGTCGGTTCCCTTCAGTGCCTCGTAATCGAACGTGTCGGAATTGAATGTTTTGGCATACTGACAGAACGACTCGAACTTACTCTGCAACGAATAAGGAAGGAAAAAAGAAACGAAAAGATATAAACCAATGATAACCTAATAATGATAGCGACTCAGCATAGATAAGGCGTCGAGAACGAACCCAGTGCTTCTTGTCAACATCCTCGTCAGCATCCCACTTGCGGGTGAGGAACGGGTACTTCTTGGAGATGATCTCGCCGTCGAAGAAGGTCGTCAGCGTCGGAAACTCCTCCGTCAGACCCTTGATTTTCAAGTATCCGCACAAATAACTGTTCTCCTCGTCCACGTGCTGCAAAACACAGAAAGCCTTATCAGTGACGGTTGTTCACGTGTCTCGCGTTCCGCGTCTTTCACGCCGGAGAAGCGTGACCGCATCCTCGGGGACAAAGCAAACTCGTGCTGTACCATGTACCCCGCGAGTGCGACGAGCTGTCAACGTACTATGCGCGCGAGGGTGACACGCGCCAAGTGCGCGCCGCTTGCGCAACGCGTCATAGGTTACCTCGTGCAATCTACGTCGCGCGCGCGAACCGACGATCCTCTCTCTCTCTCTCTCTCTTCGGCTGCGAGAATCTCGGGGAGCAACGACACGAGCGAAAGCAGATACAAAGCTCATACATCAAAGGGACGGGAGGGCAAGGAAGAGCATCGTCGTCGCCGTCGCCGTCGTCATCGGCCGCACGTTACTCCAAATTGTCGCGCAATTTCCGAAAAGCGACGACGAAGAGGTGCGGAGGCGGTGCTGGCCGATGCTCGCACGAGAGACGCGCGGGGCGCTCTACTAGGCTGGGGGGGGGACGGCGACGGCGACGGCGGCGGCAGCAGCAGCGGGCGGGCGGGCGGATGGATGGATGGATGGATGGATGGATGGACGGATGGATGGATGGATGGATGGACGGATGGATGGACGGACGGACGGACGGACGGACGGACGGACGGACGGACGGGCAGGAAGAGAACAGCTAACCTGCAAAACCACCTCTACGTCGTAGCTGTTGCCCTTGGACTTCTGCGAGCCCTGGAAGCGCGAGCCGTTGTACAGCAAGGACTTCGTGACACCTGGCTGCTTGGAGTTTGCGGGTGGCGGCGGCACCACGTCCACTTTCACCGGCATCCTCTCCTCCCCGAGCGGAGACCTCGAGCGAGCCACGAGCGATTATAATCTTTAGTCCACGATCGCGACGATAACGATGACGACGGCGACGCGCGACGCGGCGCCCCGCATATCACGCCGGAAAGATACTGCCGTCGCAATGACTGCCGGTAATCCGCGTTATATGGACGTTTTTATACGCGTTAGCCTCGAAGCCAGACCGCGATGGTCGCCAGCGCGGTTACACGCACACAACACACACACACACACACCACACACACACACACACACACACACACACACACACACACACACACACACATATATACACACGCCACATGCGTCCCGCTCCAATCACAGTCACACGTACGTACCGTCAATCGCCGTGATCGCTCGGTTCGCTCGTTGACGCGGCGACTCGTCGCGCCTTCTCCTCGCGTGCGATTTGTCTCGCCCGGACATGCGGAGGAGCGACGGAGACCGAGGCGAGCGGCGAAGCCGCGGAAACTCGTCGCTGACACGCTCGAAATGGCGGCCGTTCGAATTCGAGCGCGGCCGCAGGCCGTTCGTCACTCGAATGACGCGCAGACGTGAGTCGCGCGCGCGCGCATGCGTGCACACGACCGCGCGCTTTTTAACCGATGTCGATCGCTCGGTCACGGGCTCGACGAGGGTGTCGGGTCATGCGTTGCTCTTCGGGGTTCTCGTTCTCGTCGAGAACAGCGCAAATTCACGGCGATCTTGCCAATCTCTCGCTCGCGAGTTTTCCGCCGCTCGCATGCGCGCGCGCGCGCATGCACGGGCAATTGCTCCGCCGGCGAAGTAGAGGAGTGGGGAATCTAAGCGCCGCATGGATCGTCCGCCAGCGAGACGGTGGCGCCTCGGTCGCGCGACCTAACGTAACCTGACTTCTCTTTAATGTCAATTGATGCCAATGCAAGTATGGCGGACTTTGGCGACATGAACTCGCGCGAAGTGACAGAGAATCATGTTCATAAACGGTGCAATAATCAGTGGGTGCGACTGAATGTAGGCGGGACGTATTTTTTAACGGCGAAGACCACCCTGGCGAGAGATCCGAACTCGTTCCTCTACCGACTGTGCCAAGAGGACTCGGACCTCATTTCGGACAGGGTTAGTTGACACTGGTTCTTTACCGGGAATTTCAAACAAGCTCGGCCGAGATAAATCCGCCCACCGTGGCGTACTCTCTCTCTCTCTCTCTCTCTCTCTCTCTCTCTCTCTCTCTCTCTCTCTCTCTCTCTCTCTCTCTCTCTCTCTCTCTCTCTCTCTCTCTCTCTCTCTCTCTCTCTCTCTCTCTCTCTCTCTCTCTCTCTCTCTCTCTCCCCCTCTCCCCCCTCTCTCTCTCTTTTTTTTCTTTTCTCTTCTCCTCGCCGGCCGTCCGCGATCGCGCGTCGGTCTTACCCGAGCTGAACGGTCGTGTGAATGCTTTATTTTTAAGGACGAAACGGGAGCGTACCTGATAGATCGCGATCCTACGTACTTCAGTCCGGTTTTAAATTATTTGCGCCACGGCAAGCTGGTCATCAACAAGGACCTCACGGAGGAGGGTGTGTTAGAGGAGGCGGAGTTTTATAATATCACCGAGCTCATTCGGCTAATCAAAGAAAGAATTATACTGAGGGACACTCGGCCACAGAGAGACTCCAAGAAGCACGTCTACAGAGTACTGCAGTGTCACGAGGATGAGTTGACACAAATGGTATCTACCTTGTCGGACGGGTGGAAATTTGAACAGGTCGGTCTTCTTGCTGTTGTCGCATATCATAAATAAGGTTGTTGTAAAGGACAACACTGTGTGTGACACTGTGCTTCTCTTTTTCTCTTCTTTCAGTTAATTAACATAGGTTCTCAATACAACTATGGTAATGACGATCACGCCGAATTCCTGTGTGTCGTAAGCCGGGAATACGGAGCGAATCAGCTCAGCAGTAAGGAGCAGGAATCCACGGATCGTGTCAAGGTACCGCTATCCTATTCGACTGTTTCCCATCCTTATTTGAGTCAAAGTAGCCATGGCTAATGCGGTCTCATTTTATGTTTTCGTTATATCCGAATCGACATATAAACTGCAACAGATTTCTTGATCAAGGTTCAATCACATTCTTCTTTTACTGAATATCTTCTCTCACTACTTTTAAGTGAAACTATATATTCTAAGTAATCTGCGTCACACAGTGTTGTATGTCCCTTCTATGTTGGGTTGCATGAGATATTTATTGAAGCAATAAATATCTAACTACTTCTCAGCTGGGAACACAAGCACTTTCCTGTTTAGAAGAAAAGATTGAGTTCCAATGAAATTTCCAAATGTTTCACTGCCATAAATGGGAGAAAATTGTCCTAAAATAATCCTGTTTCTTGCAATCCAACATTGATTTTCTCAATTTCTAACGCTATTGTGAGATCAAATAACACACTTTCATCATTCCGATAAGGTCAAATAAAGCGGTATTATTTTTCTCTTTTTGGGTATTAACAATTTGCCTATACTGATACGGGTTGGGTAGAGAAAAAAAAAGAAAACCAAAAATAAGCTTTATCACACTACACGTACGATAAATATGATATACACTTTTCTTATTACGAGATTGAATTACCTCACGTCTCCTGTCTCAATCACGCTTGATCCAGCAATATATTCCTCTATACATTTTCTCCGCAATATTTTTGACAGTTGCTTAGAATTATTTTGCTTATCGTTTCTCGAAAGGAGGCAAAACACAAAGGGAAAGATATTCTCTCGTAGACATAAAGTGTTTAGCAACAGACATTATTAGGTGGTTTTGCGTGTCTCAGAAGTAAGGTCCCTGGAAAGAAAGGAATTTGTGGATCGTGAATCTCCCTATTCTGTTTTGTGCGTGTGTATGTGCGTGTACATACACACATATGTCTGTATGTGTGTGGTATGTGTTATGTGTGTGTGTGTGCGTGCGTGCGTGTGCGTGTGTGTGTGTGTGTGTGTGTGTGTGTGTGTGTGTGTGTGTGTGTGTGTGTGTGTTTCTCTACGTGTGCGCTTTGTACATTGACACACATACATATATATTAATGTTAAAGCCCGTGTTGAAAAAAACTGAAGAAAAACCACCTGATAATCTGTGTGAAGCCCAGAGGCCTGTTCGCATGTTGAGCATGTTCTGCCTCTGACATTTGTTATATGTATTATACAATTATTATTATTATTATTATTGTACCGCATGCCGTTCGTTGAATAAAGAAATTTTTCTTTCATTGGTTTGGTTACTTTATGCCCCGTGCGACCTGCATGACTTGATCACTGTTGCATGCCAGATTATTATTCATCGTACATTGTGTCTTCCTTGCGCGACGTTGAGAGTGAATTGTTGTTAGCCCCAGGTCACAGGTGCTTGTGTATAATTCTCTTGTACGACGCGAAACATTAATCTTGGTATTAGCGTATGTACTAATCTTTACAACATTTATGCGGGTTTGCTTTCCTTAATGACGGTAGCTTTTGGGGATTCACACAGTAGCTACAGCTGAATTGGCGTGTGTCAATATTTCATCCGGTTGATTCACACGAGAGAAAAAGAGAGAGGGGGAGGGAACGAGATACAACAATATATAAAAGAGGCGGAACGTTGATGATTCCCGGATAGTGAAACTTCGTATAACTTTGTCTCATGTCCCATTAGAGTCCGTGGCTAGAATTAAGTTTAATTATAATTGTAAGTGAAGCAAACTGATATACGTTTGTATTAAGCTTAGACTTATTGGATTACATTCTAGGTTTTGCAGCAGAAGGGTTCACGCATGTAATGTCTAGACCCGCGTCCTTGTTTTCCCTTGCCTCCTTTAGTTTGATCAACTGCGCTGCGACAAGATGAAGACTGTTTTCGTTTTTACATTTAAAACGTTACATTGTAAAACCCCGTGTATACTTCTCTCCATATTATATTCTCTCTATTTCTACTACTACCGTCTAATGTTTACATATAGGGACATTATTGTGCAAAGGATAAGCAAATTTTATAGACATGTATTTATTACATAGCAAGATTGTACATGAAGCTTTAAAACCGAAAGTATCACGTTATTATTAATTTATTCCTCTTCATTATATCGACACAGTGTCCGAGAGAGCAAAATGGAATAAAGAAAGAAAGAAAGAAAGAAAAACACAAGAAAGAGAATGTTGATCTCAAAAATGGGAAAGGGATAGCTTAATAATTTCGTACAGTTTATATACAGATATAATCGCTATAATACGACATGCATCAAGCAGGAACCTTCCTTTTTCTATTAAGCACATCTATCTGCTTTAAAAGCAGGTGAAATGCTATAGTCAGTGAGAGAGCGAGAGAGAGCGAGAGAGAGAGAGAGAGAGAGAGAGAGAGAGAGAGAGAGAGAGAAAGCGCATAGTTATATATTATTAATAAATAATGTTGTTCCATAATGGCTGCAGTTATGTTTTAGCTTTATCGAATACTCTAATGAATGGCACTCGTGGAGACAGGCAATCAGTTTCATAGAAATTTCTATACGGTAGCTCTTGTCTTCGGTATAATAGTAGGTGTAGGTCGTGTCATTTTTGTACCAAAATGTACAAAAGAGAGAGAGAAAGAAAGAAGAAAAGAGAGAGAGAGAGAGAGAGAGAGAGAAAGGGTTCTTTTTCCCATCCGTGTCCTTATCGTAAGATGTCTAAATTACTTACCTTCGCACTGCCGCTATATAAAGAAGAGAAGGACATAAAATAATGTTTGTAATACCTAACGTGATAATTTTCGAAACCCGATGCATAAACCGATATAATTATGAGTACGTGAGGGAGCGCTGAGACTTTTTACACAATACTGTTCGTACGAGAGAGGAAAAAAAAAGGGATTTTTTCTAAACGAAGCAATTTTTATTACACTACTTATATTAAGGATATACACAAATCTCCGGGAGAAGACGCGCGTGAAAGATGGCAGAGGCTTAAAGAATTCGCGAGGAGGTGCCATTGCGGAAGGGAATTTTCAGCAGCGAAACACATACACACACACATACGCGATGTATTTCATGTATCTCACAGCGTTACGCGAAAACCCAAAAAGAAAAGAAAAAAAGAGAGAAAAGAGAAAAAAGCAGAGAGGAAAAGAGAAACAGATAATGCGATTCCGTTGTTGCAAATCAGTAGAGAAGGAAGAGAAGGACGTGTTATACAACTAGAGGGATCTCCACGTTGTTTCGTTTCGCACAGGATATTTGCAGTTGCAATATGGTCCTTTACATCCGTAGTGACACGCGCGAGGATACTTGCGACGAAGGTGTAGGTGTCAATTGTCGAAGGCCTACTCGAAGAAAGTGTCCTAGACAATATATTCATACTTAACGAGATGTTATTATACAATACGAGGAAAAGAAGAGCGCGTCGTATAATCCTATACGGCACAAGAGTTGCGGCAATATTGCAGCAACGTTGCAACAATGTTTCTGCAACTCTTGCGCTATATGGGATATCGGCTTGTCGTAGATGTGCCATTAGTATTATCGTACACACCGAAGTTATTGTTTCTCACGCATAACGCAATGTTGTTCCCCTTTTGCAACAAGCAAACTTGCACCATTGGCAGAGAGTGGCGATTAAAACGCGATGGACGCGACGTTGCATTTTTATACATTTTTGTCATTGTGTGTCATCATCGGTCTCGATATATCGTACACCTAAGCTGCGAGAGAGAACACGGAAGCAAAAGACGATAATAGTAATAGTGATAGTAATAATAATAATAATAATAACGACGAGATTGTAACAGCGATTGTAATAATAACGATACCATTCGGATTGGCTGGTGAACGGTTCTCACTTGGTAAATCGCGACGGAAAACCTTTCAGAGACTCTAGGACCAATATTGTTAATCCCGCGCTGTGTACAGTGTTGTTTAGGCTAAAACGTAAGGCATATATTCTTTTCTAGCTCAAATCCACCGGTCCGGTCGTTAATTTAGTATCGGCGTCAATCATTAACGTTCATCGTCGTCGTTATCACCACCACATACACACACACGCGTACACACACACACACACACACACACACACACACACACACACACACACGGCGAGCACCACCCATTTCACTCATGTAAAGTTTGTACTTTCATATAGCTAGACCTCGAAGAAGCGCTAGACGTAAATTTTACCACGACTATACATTCGATGTTCGGCGTTAGAGATCAAGAAGATAGCGTTCGCACCTCGTCGAGGACTGAATAATTCGCGGCGGACGAAACGAGTCGTTGAGCCCTGGCAGAACGGAAAATCATGATGTCAGAACGATGAGGAAAACCCATTTTTTTTTCATCATGATTCGGTCATTTTCTCGTCATTCTGGTGCCATCGTGATTTTCTGCTCTATCTGGGCGCGAAATGTAAAGATCCATACAGCACAAAAAGTTGTAGCAACATTGCTGCAACGTTGCAATAATGTTGCAATGTTGCTGCAATTTTTGTGCTATATGGGGAGGAGAATAAAAGGAGCGCCGTGAAAGGACATCGCGTACGACGCGCCTTGTTGGGGAACTTTTGCAATACCGTTTCTCAGATACGGTAAATGTTGATCGTGAATGCTATTGGTCGCGTATGTTGCGACGTTATTTCTGAGCGAGTAACGTTCACGATTTACATTTGCCACCGTACAGCGCAAAAGTTGCGGCAACATTGCTGGAAAATTGCAGCATCTTTTGCGCTGTATGGACTGTATCTGAGAGACGGCAAAATTGCAAAAACTCCCTATTGTTGCTTTCTGCTACCGCAATGTGTACTTTGTTTCACTCCGAGTATTTGTCGAGTACGTCACGCGCGAGTGCTTTTGAATACTTTTCAGCTTAGATCTATGTCGCACGATTTTCCGACTTTCGCTGCCGCTGTCCTCGGTTGCGGATACTCTAGAAAGTTTCAGCATCCGAGACTCGTATACAACTTCTCACGTCATCGCACGTATGCGCGGATGTATAATAATGTAATCAAAATTCATCGGTTAACGTTTATTTAACGTCTAACTTAAAGTTTAGGACGATTCCGGCATATATCGAAGGTGTTAGACATTTTTAGAGATTTCTACGCAATAATTCTTATCTAGTGGTAGTGCAATTCGCCGTGCAAGCGACGAGGAAGATAAATCATATAATGTTGTTGATTATTTTCTTGCCGAGTCAGTCACATAAATATCTATCCCGATGATGAATCATACAAAGAAGAAATTAAATTTCTCCGAATGACTTATGTATTAAATGAATAATAATGATAATAATAGTCGTTTACACATACGGCAACTCTCTGATGACATTGCATTACCGATGGGTGAGCTTACATCAAGTAAGTTTTACGATTATAGTGTGTGATTTGTAAAGTGAGATAAAATTAAATACAAATTGTTTTTATTAATTGTAACTTATATGAAGAATAAAAGATTTATTGTATTATTAAAGTTATACACATGCATCCTTCTGCTTTATCTTCTCACTTACCCTCTGTCACTCGATTGTACACATACACATATCAAGACGATAACGCACACACGCACGCACGCACGATTTAAAATTAATAAAAAATATATTTAAACATGTGCATACAGTATTCGTACAAATCGCAAGTTCTTACAAATGACAAATAAATAGTACAGAATAAGCATAATGCATTATAATACATTGATTTCCTCAGAAACAGATCGTATATAAGACTCCCTCAGGGCATACTTGCTATTGTCTTCAAGGGTTGATCAAGATATTGAGCTAACGCCTGTGCCTTCTCCCGCAACAGACCAAATCCTACATTTTCCTTTGCGTACAAACATAACAACAAGTTGGCTACCTCTGTAATAACAACCTTCCCTTCCTACAAGCAAACAGAATGTGATAAACTTTCATCTATTAGCACCGTAAAATTTGCTGACGGATGTATCGTTACCATGCAATCCATCAGAACAAACTGCAGCTCGTCCTCTTTAAAGGCGTTCCTCCCGTTCTTCTCGTAAACAGTCCAAATGTTACTCGTGATGGCAGCTGTCACTCTAGCATCCTTGTCTCCATAACCGCTATAAGCCAGCAATCCTCCATCTCTGTTGAGCAATCTGTGGAATTTATTGCGTCAATTCAACTTAATCTTAATACATATCACAAAAGCATCACATTTATACAAATTATTTTTATTAATAATAACAAAGATATAGATTAAAAAAGATAAAGATATTTATTAATCAAAGGAAAAGGAAGAGTAGTCTCTTTATACTGTAATATAACAGCTGACCGGGAATTGCAAACTTTGAAAAAAAACGCGAGAGATATTAAGAAAAGAATTCAGGAGCGCAAAATGTCCTAGAAAAGAGTTTTTCGTTGTATACTTCCGCAAAAGTTCTCACTCACAAAGTGTTCTCCACACCTCCGGTGTTCGCTTGACTGAGAACCTGCGTGAGAGCCTTCGGCTTCAGCATATTTTCGCTGTCACCCTCGATCCTCGATATTTCTTCGTCAATCGAATGCTATTTATTTTTTTACGTTTCTGCAGAAATCTTTCCTTTCCCCGGCAGCCTATCTCGACATTGATATCAGCTGTTATCGGCAAATCGGCGATGTATATACTCCATGAACTGTCAGAGGCAGGAACCAGGACGAGAGGGGAGGAGCGGGAGAACAGTCACGAGTTACGCTTCTCCAGATGCGCAGTTGGATTGATCTTCGTCGGGGGACTCCCTCTCGGCACTTGTGACTCACTCACGCACGTGAGCAGCACGATCACATCGATCACGAGGACTCGTTGCGCGCATAAATTCGAAGATTCCTTCCTTCTTTCCTTCCCGCGTGGCACGAAAATAGACCCGATTGCATGCGTTCAATTCTCTCGCGATCTGCGTCAGCCGCACAGACTTCTATAGTATAACTAGACCGCTAACTCCGACTCAATATATAATTCCGAAAAATATACAGAAATCTCGCGCATGCGCCGTCCTGGTGGTCCGACATTCACATCTGATTAATTGAAACAAAACACATTTCTTCTGATTAGATCAACCATGTTGCTTATATAGCCCCTCTCCTTGTGGACCACCAATTTTACGCATGCGCAGATGCTTGATTCCCTTATTTAATACATACTTTCTCGGGTCAATTTTGTGCGGCAGTAACAGATGTCTATACTATACTAGATACCTAACTTCTAAAAAAAGCTGTGCCGAACCGGAAAATACGCTCGGCACTGCCTTCGTATAGGCCAAAGCTCGAAGTTAGGTATCTAGTATAATATAGACAGAGAGGAAGCTGAGAGCGGCCAACACGGCGTTTTCGGCGACACCGATTTTTCGCACTGGGAATGGGCGCTATCTGCATTCATTTTGAGAGGGGAACTACGATGCTACATCCACTTTTAGGTTTCGACGGTAAAACCTGCATCTGGTGGCTGTCCGTGCTACATCCACTTTCAGGCGGTTTATGTCCGTGCTACAACCATAATAGCGTACTTGACAAGCACGGTCTCGCGCATTGTTATGCATTTATAACATGAATTAACATGTTAACATGCACAAAAAAATAAGAATTGAGATTGTATATGATTAATATCATGAAGATTATATACGATTTATATCGATATATAAATATATGATAATAAGATAATATTTTGTGTGTACCCAAAATTATTTTTCCAAAATATTTCAGCGTTACGTTAGTATTTATTTATACTCCGGCAGGCGTTTTTTAGCGCAGTTGTGTCCGTGTGCATGTGTTGCATTGAAAGTGTGCGTGACGTACGTGTGCATATACGCACTCTCACACACACACACACACACACACACACACACACACACACACACACACGTGTTATACGCAACAGATAGAATCTCAGGGTATATGCTTAAACATTTTCAATTGCTGTACGTTTCTATGTAAGAATGTAGTCGGCACACACACACAGAGAAACTGCTCCCGTCTATTCGTCTGAAGTCCCGCCCTCCGCTCGGCTTGTTTTGACGAGCCAAGCGAAAGAGAGAGAGAGAAAGGGAATATGTTCTCTCCATCTCGCTCTGATTCGCAACGTTGCCGAGATTGTGCTTCCCGAAACACGGCCGAGACTGACGTTTCACTCTCGGCGTGAATCCAACGAGATGATCAATAGCGATCGATTTCGACTAAACTCGTTGTGTCGATAGATTTGCATGACAAATTAACATTGAACTTAAAGATACGGCGTAACATTGAAGCGTTTGCAAGAAAGTCGCGATTGAAAATCGCGAGTTATTCATGAACCAAATGAAGGAGCGAGCTTCTCAAAGAGCGTGTGGCTTGGTGGAAGTACGCTGGACTCGCGGGGTTGAGGTCGGTGGTTCGCATCTCCTTGGCGGTCGGCGTTGTCCTTTTTCGCCAATCATTTTTTTTTTCGTTTTTTAAGAAAATGCACGTATTGCATACAACACACGGGCATCGCAAGCATTGCACGTTTCGTCGATGACACTTCCTCTGAGACCCCGCCCTCCGCTCGACTTGTTTCGACGAGCTAAGCAAAAAAGAGACAGAGAATGTGTTCGCTCCATCACCTCTGTGAAGATGGCCCTTCATTCTTCAAATTTGAAAAAAATTATTAGAGTTCTGAATGCCCCTCGCAGAGTTCTAGAGTTCGCAATCCTTTATAGAAAGAGTTCCGTCATTTAAAGTAGAGAAAATACCATTTTAAAAATCGGAGGGCCAACTTCACGACACCCCTCATTATGTAAAAAATGACAATTTTTTTAGAGTTCTAGATAGATTTTTAAGTTCTATAGTTCTAGATAAGTTTTAAAAATAGTTCTGTTTCAAACAATAAGAAAATTATATTTAAAATTCTCGAATTAGAAAACGAAAAATGGCAAGAACTCTACCAATTTTGGTTTTAGCGCGTCGCATGTTAATAATAATCTTTAGAACTCGTGCGGGGCTAACCAGAACTCTGAATGAAACGTCGGATTTTCGAAAATAAATTTTCTGAGTGAGATGGGAGTCGCAATTTGGAAAAATGTAGCGTTTTTACAGTGAAATCCGGTGATCGAGGTGGAAAATCGATTGACCCATATTTGCCTATTCACGTATAGGCAAAAATATTATTATATTATCATTATTACATATTATTATCTCGATGCACGAATCACTACAGCTCTCTTTCAGCAGTTGAACGTACCTTGTATTTACAACTATCGCCGCTACGTAGCGCCCGATGGCATTGGCATACTCGGAGTTGAATTAACGACTCGGAGAGGATAAAATGCGAACGTAGCAGTTGTAAAGCATCGCTTCTCGGCTCTCTGAGCTAAGATCAAAGTGTAGTACGGTGTAGGGCGCTTGGACACGTTTTGCAACGCGCCGAAGGGGGATCCACCATGAAAGAAGGAGGGCGTACTAGGTGGCGACGGGACGCCGTGCGTTCGGGACCTGCATCTCATTTTTCGTTCCGAGGAGAGAAAAATATCGAGAGCGCGGTAGTCGCTAGACCGGGAATCGAACCCGGGTCTTTCGCTTGCCGGGCGACTGCTCTAGACCACTGAGCTATCTGACGCTCCACGCTCACGACACTCTCCTCCCCTCCCCAGATAACGTTGAGAGATGTCGTTCGGAAGCGACATCTCTAGTGCTATCCCGAGCGCACGGCGACTACAGAGAGAGGCATTGTTACTTGTACCTGGTGGTACAAGCTGACGGTCTCTCCGCTCTCTGAGCTAAGATCAAAGTGTAGTAGAATACTCCGTTGTCCAGGGCTCGCGCGCGTTGCCTCCCCTGTCGACCGCATGTATAGCAAAAAAAAAAAAGAAAAAAATTTTTTTATCTTCGTTCAGGGAAGGCGATTGCCTCGTGCGATTCCGCGTCTGAAATTAATTACGTTATTGTGAGAGAAAGTGAAATAAGTGCCTCTGGGATATTATACTTACCTACTTACCTTTTGCGCTGATATCCTGGAGGTGAGGAGTGGCGATTTTATTGGCTCTGTCGATGGACATTTGTGGACGGCTGTAAAGGCAGGAAAAAATTGATAAAACTTTGTTAAATTTGCGTCGAAATCCGACCGGCGTGCAGTGGAGCTGTAAGAGATATTTAGAGAGAGAATCGCGAAATTTATAAGTCCAGTGACGGGCGGCGTGTTGCTTTTGCACATTGTCACATTAATAGCCCGTCATTGGCAATAAAATATTAATTATTAGTTGTCGCACGTTGGCGAGGCCTGTGGCGGGCCCACACTCATATTAAAAAACATCTGTTGTTAATAAAAAGTCCCGCCACAGGCGTTACAAAATACAAAGAGAAGCGGCTGCGCGCCGAGCATAAGTCCCGTGACAGGTGCAATGCTTATATCTCGATTAGTAAGCACAATTTTACTAAGCACCTGTCGCGGGCAGATAAAGCACACTCCACTGCACACGAAACGTAGGTCCCGCGGCGGTGCAACTGCCTTTTTACGTGTTTTTTCAACGTTGCAAACCGCCCGCCGCGGGCAGCCGGTCGGACCTGCCGAACGCCGTTGGAGCGCCGCTCCTTGAGCGCGGAATCGACACGCGGGCGTTTTTGCGTGTTTTTTAATCTCGAGTGTGCACGCCGCGTTACTGACCGTGCCGGGGGTCAGCGGGTATACGTCCGTCTTCGCTGCCGCCGTCGGCGCGCGCTCGCCCGTCGCGCGCGTTTTGTCGCGTCCGCCGCTCGGCCGCGGGGTCGCGGAGCGGGACGGGACTTGGCGTCCCGAGTGACGCGTGCCCTCCACTACGCGGAACACCGGTCACCGAGCGCGGCATTGCACCACACGCTGTACCGGGGCCATTGCGAGGCGGACGGGAGGTGCTCGCTGACGGGCGCCGGCCGTCCCGCGCCGTGACCTTCGCACGCTTGTTTCTCGCCCGGTCGTTCGTGGAACATCACCGCAGGCGGACACTCGGTTAAGGCGAAACCTCCCCCGCGGGGTTCATCGGTCGCGGACACTCCGCGGTCGTTGGGCCGATCGGTGGAGACGTAGCGTACGAGGGCCGTCTCGGTGCCCGCGACCGACGGGGCGAGAAGCTTGTCAAAGCAATTTCTCGCTCTCCGGGTCGCGAACAGAAGCGGCACTCGAGTAGCGGGTGAAGCGACCTTTTCCCAACGCGGTGCATCGGTCGGTGGGTGCGGATTGCACCCTCACTCCGCGCACTGATCGTTGCACTGCCGCGAGAAACCGTTGCGGACGACACTCGGTGCGCACGTGATCGCGACCTTGCGAGCGGGATCTGTTTATCTCGCCGGGCGGCGGTTAAAATTTCAATTTAATTTTTAATACTATATTTCAGCGGAATGTCGGTGTCGCCCGTCCAGGTCGTCATCCCGTTCCCGCTCCCGGACAGGGTAACCTGCCTGAGGTGCTTCGGGAGGGACGTACCTGGACAAAGGGCGCGGGGATCCTACGTCGACGGGCTGCATCTGGCAAAGTACCAGAAGAAGTTCCACCCCGACGACTCCGTCACGTACAGGTGTTCTGCGTGTGGGTACACGGGTACGGGTGCGTACCCTTTGAAAAAAGTACGGACCCACTACGAGACCCTGCACGGGGCGGAGTCGCCGGAGGTGGCACCGCCGGATGCGGCCCGTCGGCGTTCCCCGCGTCCGACGCCGACACCGCCGTCATCACCGCGGGCGAGCGCGTCGTCGGCGGCGTCGACGTCGCGGGCCGGTAGGCTTGAGGCGTGCGGGGCGGTGACGCGCGGGGAGCCGTCGCTCGCCTCGGACGGCATGCGACGCGCGACGCGGGGCGCGGCAGCGCGCGGGCACCCGTCCACGGGTAGGACGGGAGGCGTGGTTGCACGGGTGCAGCGCGCGACGCCGTCACTGTCGGCAATTACACGCACCACCACTACACGCACTACCACACGCACACGGGCAGCACCCAGGAGGCCGTCGGCTGCTGCACCATCGCCGCGCACTGTTACACTCACACGCGCGCAGCCGGCGGCCGTGGTGCTGCTCTCGTCGTCGTCGTCGGAGGAGTATGCACCACCACTCACGCGCACCCGCGCACCGACAACCTTCGCGGAGGCCGTCGCGGCGACACCGCGGGCAAGTATAACGCCGGCGAGGACGTCTTCTTCGTCGGCGGAAGCCCGCGGTGCACGTGCGGCGGCCATGTTGGAGCAACAGGAGTGGTCGGCCACGAAGCATGCGGAGACTAGATGCGGGGCCCCTAGCGCGGCCGTGGTCACGCCGCCATTGGCCGCCGCATCTGGGGAAGAGGGCGCCATCTTCCGGGTCGGTAAATTACGCGAGTTCTGGGAGTCCTCGCCGGAACAACGCCCGCCGGTGGCCGAAATAGGCCATACGGCGGCCAATTGGAGGACTCCAATTGGACGGAGGGCGTAGCTCCGTGGAGCCGACCCGGCGGGCGTGCAACGCCGAGGCGCCCGCCGTTCCGACGAGAAAGACACCATTCTCGTTGGGCGGCGGTTCGTTCTCGAGCGCAGGATCCCTCGGGGGGACTCCGCCGACCACCTGCGGAGCATCCCCGGGGGGCCTGGCTGGCATTTAAACGCCATGCACGCCCGTTTCAAGGACAGTGGCGACCCTCACCACCGTCACCATCACAGTCTCCACGGCGGCGAGCCCGATCATGTCGACCGGGCTCCCGGGCGCGGGTATACGGGGCGCGATTTCCTCGCCCCCTCTGCCCCGCGCCCAGCCGGTGGAGACGTCCCCAGCGGCGGCCGATGAGCGGCTCAGGACACCACCAGGGACGACCACCAGCCCACCGGAGGGAGGAGGAAGAGGAAGGAAGAGCAGCAGCCCCCCTCCGAGAAGGATGACCCTACGGCCGCGCAGGGCGGGGGCCTCGCGGAGGCCGGCCGCTCTCTACACGGAGGACGAGGGTGGCAGGGACGGCGACGACGAGGAGGGTGCCGACGGTGGCGGCCCGTGGACGGCCGCCATCCCAAGGTCCGCGCGGCGAGGGGCGCGCCGCGCGCGCGTACGCTCGTCGGATGAAGAGGCCACGAGCGCGGCTTCCCGGGCGGCACTCGAACCGCCGCCCCTCACGGAGGCGAATTTTCCCCCGCTTGCGGGGGCGGGCGCGGCGCGAGGCAGAGGGACGCCACTGGTTCGGAGGGTGGAGGAGACACGCGCGCGAGATACTGGCGGGGGAGGCGCCGGAGACGGGTCCGGTCCGCGTGGAGTCCGCGGCGTGATGGGTCGGCGGGGAGTGCCCGCGTCCGTCGACGCGCGTCCGGATGCGGTTCGGGCGACTGCGGCTCCGGGTTCCCGCGCGGGCGGCGGCGCGACTCGACTCGCTAGGGCGCCGCGCGGTCCTCGAGACGCGCGGGATGCCGCTCCGAACGTCGAGAGACGGACGGGGCGTCAGCTCGCCGTCGAGAGGACGCGGCTCGTCGACGCGGCGGATTCCGTGGCGACGCTCGCCGAGCTCGAGGATCTGGCGATTCAGGTCGCCGGATTCTTCGGGGGAGGCCGGCCAGGGCGTGGCGCGCCGCGCGCTCGTCGACCGCCACCACGCCGGTTGCATGAGGCCGACGAGGAGCGGCGAGGGGAGAGGGACGCGCGAGAGGGTGGCCGTCAGGGGGAATTGGTACCGGCTAATGTCCCCGATTTTTTCGGAGAAGACGGCCGGAACAGGACTCGTGAAGCAGCGCGAATACAGGCGCTCTTCAGGAGGAACCGACGCAGGGCAGTTCGAGAAGTGTTGGCCGGCCCCGCGGAGGTCTGCGATCTGCCGACCGACGTGGTACAGGCGCACTTCGAAGAGCTGTATCGCGGAGGGGACGACCTGCGGGGCGCCGAGCCTGCGGAGCGAGCCGACGTCCCGGGCGAGGACGGCGGTGCGGCGGCGCTGATAGAGCCGTTCACGGAGCGAGAGGTGTGTCGTCGGCTCCGGCGTATGAATAACTCTGCGCCGGGTCCAGACGGCATAACCTACAAGGACCTCCGTGCAGCGGATCCATCGGCGCGGCTGCTCGTCGCCCTCTTCAACGCATGTTTGCGGCTCGAGGCGGTTCCTGCCGTCTGGAAGACCTCCAACACAATCATGGTGTACAAAAAAGGAGATCGCGGTAATATAAATAACTGGCGCCCTCTCACGTTGGGGGATATCCAGCCCAAACTTTTCGCCGCCGTGTTGGCCGATCGTGTCACCGAGTGGTGCGTGGTCGGCGGGAAGCTCAGTCCGACTCAGAAGGGGTTCCTGAGGGGCGAGGGGTGCTTCGAGCACAACTTCGTCCTGCAGGAGATCCTGACTGATGCCCGGAGGGGCCGCAGGGAGGTGGTAGTCGCGTGGCTGGACCTTTCCAACGCGTTTGGATCGGTTCCCCACGGGGCAATCCGCTGCGCACTGGTTCGCGCGGGCGCGCCAGCGGGCCTCATCGCCGTATGGGGCTCGCTGTACGATGGTTGCACCACGTGCGGGTGTGAACCGCTGATGGCTTCACAGCGCCCATCCATATTCGCTCGGGCGTACACCAGGGATGCCCGCTGAGTCCAATCGTGTTCGACCTCGCGATCGACTCCGTGCTGCGTGCGGTCACGGCTGTCGGTCTCGGGGTCTGTCGAGCTCTTGGACTCGCGGTGGTCAGTAATGGCCTATGCAGATGACCTGGTACTGGTCTCCAGGACGCCCGACGAAATGGAACGACTGCTCGCAGTCGCGATGAACGAGGCATCGTCGGTCGGGTTGCGGTTCAACCTTGCCAAATGCGCCACCCTGCACATCGGTGCAGGCGGAGCGGGCAGGGTCCGACCGACGACCCTCCGGATCCAGGGCCAACCAGTCCGTGCAATGGCCGAGGGCGAGGCCTATGAGCACCTCGGCATACCAACGGGCTTCGGGGTCAACCAGACTCCGCATGCTGCCATTAGGGTGCTACGTGACGACTTGGCGTCGGTCGACCGTTCCCTCCTCGCCCCGTGGCAGAAGACGGAGACCGTGGCGACTTTTTTGTTGCCGCGGCTCGACTTTTTGCTGCGGGGAGCCGCAGTGGAGAAGGGCCCCCTCAAGGAGCTCGACCTGCAGATCCGCAGGTCCTGTAAGATGTGGCTCAACCTCCCGCAGAGAGCGAGCGCCGAAGTGGTCTACATGCCCCCTCGCAAGGGGGGATGTGGGCTACTTCCTCTAGCTGACCTCGCCGACGTCCTCTCGATCGCGCACGTCTTCCGTCTTCTGACGGCGGACGACCGCGCGGTCAGGGACCTGGCCTGGGCGTCTCTGCGGGGAGTGGTTGCACGCCGCATCGGCCACCTCCCTGGTTGCGACCAGATCGCCGCCTTTCTCTCGGGGTCACTCGAGGGGAGGCTGAGGGGGGGAGGGGAGCGCTCCCTGTGGTCGAGAGCGCGGAACGCCGCGCGTCATCAGTCGGATCGCTGCGCCATCCGGTGGCTGTGGAGCGAGGAGCACCGCGAGCTCGTCCTTCAATGTCGCGGTCCGCGGGGCAGGGTCACCAAGATCCCACCTGGGGCTCGTGCCCAGGTGATCGGACGCCTGCGTGCTGCGGTGGCGGAGTGGTATGATACCACCTTGTCGCGGAAACCAGACCAGGGGAAGGTGTTCGAGGTGTCGTCTCGTCATCGAGTGAGCAATCACTTTATGCGGGGCGGCAGCTTCACCCGCTTCGCTGATTGGCGTTTTATCCACCGTGCTCGTCTCGACGTGTTGCCGTTGAACGGCGCACGTCGGTGGGGAGAGGGTGATAGACGTTGCCGGCGATGCGGGGCGGAGCCCGAGACCTTTCCTCATGTGGTCTGTCATTGCGGACCCCATTCCGCTGCGATCCAGTGGCGTCACGATTCGATCCTGCTCCGACTCAGCAGGGCTTGCCGTCTGCCAGGGGACGTGACCGTGAACCGGCGGGTCGAGGGCATCGATGGGGAACTCGGCGAGCTGCGGCCTGATCTCGTGATCAGGCACGAGCCGTCGAAGAGTGTCGTCATATGCGATGTCACGGTGCCATTCGAGAATCGGCCAATAGCGCTCGAGGAAGCTAGGGAGCGT